GTGAAATGATAATCTCTTGAATGTTATCTTTAGGGCTGCTTTGAGATTCTGTAGATACATAGTTCACACTAATGAGAACAGTATATGCAAGTGAATGTTTGCTCTTGTGAGTATGGTTATAGTGTAGCAACCTGTAGTGTCATAGCTCAACACACTTCATATTCAAATCATTCAAATGCTTTTAGTTTACTTTATTGCATCAAATGCAAATGCACCTGCTACAATCAATTCACCAAATGTTGAAACCATGCCTTCTACAATTTATATGGAGGAAAAACTTACCTTGACAAGTTTTACAAGTGTTTCAAAGCTCTGGCATGCCAGCTGCAAGGATATACAAAGAAAAGGAGACATTATATTGATTGTATAGTTTTAGGCACCTGAAAAATATGATACACAAGTTACAAAACCAATACCGGTAACCCCCATAAATTTTACCAATGTAGCATCTGTTGCTTCTTCCTATACAAAAATAAGACTATTCTGTAGGTAAACATACTTGTATCCTTCATTTCTAAAAGCCACCCACAAGAATATCTCTCGCTTAGTTTATTAGCTTATTTCTCGAGTAGGAACAAAAAAAAAAAAATGAAGAGTTCATGCCCGTTTAATGTCTCTTTCACTCTCTTTTCACTCACTCACTCTCTTTGACATTTTCCATCTTTGTTGTTGTTGCTGTTGATGTTTGTTTGTTTGTCTTTGCTCTAATCTCACTTTCCGTTCTCCCTCTCTCTAAAGGCCTGTCCTCATCAGCTTAAGTTTGCTAAAGAACCTGCTATTTTCAGACTCAGAAGATTATCTTGAAGCTCGAAATTGCGTCTTCACCAGACCGATAAGCTTATCACAAACTGGCTCGGACGGGCGCAAATTAGCCCGCTATTTCCCAAATAGCGGGATATTTTGGAAACAAAATTAAGATTTCTCTGTATATTTTCTCGACCAAATATTTCACTTATTACAACTGCGGGCTGTTGAAGACGCAAATTTACTGGCTAATTTGCGATCGGGATGACTAAAATAGCGGGTTATTTGGCAAACTCGAGCTGATGAAGACAGGCCTTATCTGCCCAAACTTCTACTCAGAGCTTACTATCTTACCTCTCTAGTAGGGACCAGAATAAGAGCATACGGTCCATGTAATCTTTGAACCTTAGGCTGAAGACCCTGCAGCTGTTGGACGACTGGAACAGCATAAGCCAAAGTTTTTCCTGCAAAATAAAAAGTAACATCAAGTTAACTTCATGATTCTAGAAGATTGAATTCATTAATCTTTGATAGTGCTGTATAATATAAGAATAAATCTGTTTCATTGCACCATATATCCCAGGTTCCTTTTTATAACTTTCATCTTGTTTGGCATCTGAACCAGTAGATAAGATGCAGTTATAAGTATATCAAAGTTGGGGAGTGTTTTACAGAGATTAAGATCGACTTTAAGTTGGAATTAACTATGGCAGGCCATTCATGCTACTGTTTGCTCTCATCATTATGATCTTTAGATAATATTTTTTTCTTCAATAATGAATTATCAAAAAATGTAAATTCTGTAGATTTGTGACCACGATTTGTACGTCCCTTGAGAAACCAATGCTAGTAAAGGGTGAGAGCAAACAGTGGCATGAACGGCCCTGCCATAGTTAAGTCCAACTTGAAGTCGATCTTAGTCTTTGTGAAACACCCCCCTGAATCACCAATACATTATACAGACTCTCTCATGTAAAACGAGGTATACAACTTTGACAGACACATCCAATGCGATGATAGGGACACATTCACAACTAAAAGCACCTCTTAAACTCTACATATCTGTCAGAATTCCTGCATTGACCAAGGTACTCAGGACTTCAAACAGCATCGGAAAGGCCTATATTTTCTGAAAATGCTGCAATCTGTACAGAAGTACCAGAATAACTGTTTGTATTTACCTGTTCCTGTTTGTGATTTGATAAGAGTGTCTTGTCCATGCAGCAGAGTGGGGATGGCTCTCTGCTGTACAGTCGTCATCTGACTGAAACCGAGATTCTTCTCAATATTTGATATCTAGGAGAGACGACACAGTAGAATATGAGTCACTACAATTTCATAGAGCTCCCATTTTATCTACACACAAATCCGCATGAGAGAATTACTAGAATTATGGACGTTTAGGCCAATAAAATGAAACATGGTCTTGATTTTCACTGAATGTATGACTTATTGTTTTTTTCAGTGGTTGACAATTTTTTTTTTTTAAAGTCCTTAATTAACAATTTCAGATAATAGGAAACCGAGCAACACTTTGTTACCTTTAGGAATAAAGCTACTAGAGCAACCCACTGAAGAAAGGCCTGTAACTAAATAAAGACACTTAAAAAAACACTTGCACATTTTATATATGCTTTGGATTCACTAGCCATAGGTCTAGCCATGTTCTACTCTGACCAGTGGAGGCCCACCGAGCTAGCACAATCACTTGGAAATGTTGTGACATTTGAGTTTTCTAGAGAGAGAGAGAGAGAGAGCAAACAATAATTTTGAGATCTTTGAGAGAATCAATGGACATAAACTCACCATGAAGGAATGCAGCGGGAGTTCACTGAACTGTGTTGATGAAAAGATAGCCTCCTTATTCTCAGTGACTTTCTGACTGTAATAAGAAAAATAAATGGCTGATTACTTAAAATTTAAAGATTAATCAGTAAACAGTGTAAACATAAAGCAAACTACTGCTACTTCACTGTCAAGAATACTAATAAGTTTCATTTATAATACAAGTCAATATTAGTAATATAACAAATGACAAGCTACATGTACCTGTGTATTTAGGAAACACCTCTGTACTAGACGAAGAGTGCATTTTAATAATTAAAATAAAGGTTGAAAAGTATGAAAGTGTAGCTTCAGAACTTCTTTGGCTCACAATAATAATAATAATAATAATAATAATAATAATAATAATAATAATAATAATAATAGCCTAATAGTCCACTCCAAATTTTATTAAACCGAAATGGAAATTCTTTTTGCCCAATTGATCGTGAGCCCGGCAGCCACTGAGCAGCGCCAGATCGACGTTGCTCTATCCCTTATTGTTGAATGCCAAACAAGGTAGCAACAACTCCCATCTTTTAACGTCTTTTGGTATGACGCGGCCGTCGTTCGAACCCACGACCTCCCGGTTATGAGGCGGACGCTCTACTGACTGAGCCAACAAACCGGTACAAAGCAGTGTGAGATAATAAACTTGATGAAAGGGATCAAGCATACATCATGCATTCCTATATAATATAACGAGGGAAAAATTGTATCAGAGAAAAGGTATGATGCAGAAGTGGGGAGATGGAGAGAGAAGAGAATGATTTATTCTTACCAAGAAGAAGAAGAAGGAGAAGAAGAAGAAGGAGAGGAGGAGGAGGAGGAGGAGGAGGAGGAGGAGGAGGAGGAGGAGGAGGAGGAGGAGGAGGAGGAGGAGGAGAAGGAGAAGGAGAAGGAGAAGAAGTAGAAGGAGAAGGAGAAGGAGAAGGAGAAGGAGAAGGAGAACGAGAAGGAGAAGGAGAAGGAGAAGGAGAAGGAGAAGGAGAAGGAGAAGGAGAAGGAGAAGAAGAAGAGGAAGAAGAAGAGGCAGGGAAAAAATAAAATATTTATTTTTCGGGGGCTACTTTTCAAGCTTGCCTGCATAAAAATAACACTCTAAAATTGTTTTGCATTGAACTCTATGCAAATTTACGGGGCTCTTTTGGGCACTTCGGGGGCAAATTCGCTCTGAGCCCCCATGTATTTTTTTCACTGAGAAGAGGAAGAAGAAGAAAGAATGAGCGAGATGGCAGGATTGAATGAGGTATGTATGATTTGGAAACAAATTAGGAAAATGCAACTCACATTTTAACCTGAGGTATCTCTGGGTTGTGTCGAAAGAGAGAAGAAATTATGTTGTTGTTTGGTTGACCAGGCTGTTTGTTTTTGCTTTCTCCATCTTTCTGCTTCACTCCTTTCCCTCGCGATCCTGTCTGTTTGTCATCTAAAAAGTTGAAACTGAATCCCGAGCTCTCATTCTTTGCATCATCATGATTTGAATTATTGTTTCCTTTTTGGTGTGAGATGTTGTCCTCTCTTCCTTCTGTATTTCTCTGTGGTGTCTTCTTCTTTTTCTTCAAAGTTTCCTGAGGAATAGGATGCTTCTTGACCTACAGAGAAAGACATTACAGACAAGTTGTAAAGATAGTAAGTTACAAAAGAAGTAAATAGATCTGTACTGTAGTTCACTCCCTTTTGTCTCGTTATCATTTTCTCTCTCTCTCTCTCTCTTTCAATTTATTTGTCACCAGTTTCCACGCTCTTGCTTGCTATACGTATACTATAGGGTATAGATATAGGCGTTTGTATGTTCATACTTTTGAGACTAATCTTATCGATTCTAATTTTGACTTGGCAACCATGCGCAGTTGAGTTGACATTTGAAATAGTTTTTTGAATGAATATTTTTCCTTTTTCATCATCATCATCATGTCAGGTCTCATGAGTTTATAACCAGTCTATAATTTGTCTAGAGAAACAAATAAGTCTGTTATTACTCTCTTAAAAAACAAACATATCTTTGACTTTGACATCTATCTCATTTCCAAACTAGTATCACACTCAGCTCAACACAATAGAAATGGACACTACTAACATGACAAAATATTGTATGAATGGGACTGAAATGAAATATTGTTGATAGTTTTCAGCTAACGGCTTACCTTATTTACTGGTTCCACATTGGATACAAGGTTTAACACAATTCCACCTCCGGTGCTATCCATTCTCAACGAAGTTTCTTACATGGAATATTACAGAAATGCGTTTCCAATTTGTTTAAAAAAGTAAAATTGGGCAGTAGAACCGTAATCGTAACCGTGTGGATGATGACACGAGCAACGCATTGCGTAATCAATGTTGCACGTGTACTGTACGTTCGAAGTTTGAAGTAGATCTATACAGTATAGTACAATCAGTGTATACAATATGTGTAGGCCCAGTGTAGATACAAATCTGTCAGCTGTTACGTCTGTATCATCGGCTGAGGCAAGAGTTGTAAGTGTGGCTGTGAGTCTTGTTGTCCTGTTTTGTCTACCGGTATTTGTTCAAATTTGTTTATTTGCTGCATGTGGAGGGATCAACTAAGAGAAGAAGAAGATGTGTTTACAAAAAGTAGAATCTAGAGTCTAGACCTTTTGGCTATTGCATTTATAATAGTTCTAGTTGGTCTAGTCTAATTAACAAACGTGACAAAAAGTCTGATGCGTGACAACCAATTTGTTCTTTGGGATTTTGACAACATTCATCCAATTTTTCTTTTCAGCCAAGCTGCATATGCATTGTATCACCAACTGGATTCATTACTGGAATTATGTTGAGGTGTGCAGTTAAAGCTGGAGTTGAATGCTGTCCAACATGGATGAGTCGCATCTGCAGCAGGACGACCTCAAGGATGAAAGTCCATCACTTCATCAGACCTGCCTCATTAGACCAGAGAACTGTATCCTCATCTTCCTCGTCATCCCTTGTCTGGAGACGGATAAAGACAGATCAAAAGAATTCTATATGTCGTCCTACAGACAATGTTTTAACCTCTGGACTGAAAGCGTGTTTTTGTTCAGGACAATCAGATGACGGCTCAGCAGCTAAGCAGGCTCTTGGTAAAATTGAAGGTAATACTAATAAGTGTAAAGTTACGTATAGTACTAGATCAAGAGAATTGTGTAACATGAAGATTAATTATGTTTTAGATTTTATTTTGAATGATGTTTGCTTTTTCTGATGCATACTTGCCAGAGACTTGGCTATGTTTATACACCCAAGTTTTTGTAAACCCCTCCCAAATTTCTTGAAAAACCGCACATGCCTTTCTTATTGACCATTAATTAGATTGGGAAAAAAAGTTTTTATTTCCCAATTTTTTTAATTTTTAAAAGAAGGCAACAGGTTCAATTTCAAGACTTCATAATCTCAATTGCGGTACCATACTTGTGAATTGCATTTTACATTCTCTGGTTTCATTGTTGTTATAAAATGAAGGTCTTTAGCATATATGTAGATCTACAATTGATTCATTTTCAAAGCTTCACGGTTTTCTAATACAAGTGAAGTGCCTTTGACATTTTTATCCTTTACTGTGTTTTGATTTCCATTGTAACAGGTAAGCTTCATCTGGCCTTCACATGTAAAGTCTGTGGAATGCGTACAGCAAGGAGCATCTCTAAACATGCCTATGAAAAGGGCGTGGTCATTGTCAAGTGTAGTGGATGTGAAAACAATCATCTCATCGCTGATAATCTAGACTGGTTCAAAGGAGCTAAAGGAGCAGGGAGGTATTAAAGCATTTGTCTTTCAAAGAAAATTGCACTTTTGTGAAAGGAAATAAGTAATAGCTGAAGGAAAATGGAAAAAACATTATTCATATCCTTCCAAGCCTGTTATTGGGGCAGAGTGCCCCTGGTCCTGATTCGCTTGCTATGTGTTTTGTAAATGATTATTTCTTTTTAATTTACCAATAATTTACCAGAATTGGATGATGTGCTCTGAAGTCTCAAGCTCTGGGAAGAATTGTTAAAAAGAGAAAGGGAGAGAGAAGAGAGAGAGGAGAAGACAGAAGAGAGAAGAGAAGATAAGATACGAAAAGAGAAGATACGAGAAGAGAAGAGAAGAGAAGAGAAGAGAAGAGAAGAGAAGAGAAGAGAAGAGAAGAGAAGAGAAGAGGAAAAGAGAGAGAGAAAGAGGGGGTGGGTAGAAGATAAACTATAATTATTTTTTAAGGGTGTTATTGGTTCTACCATGAAGTAAAATTATTGCAATTATACATGTAATTGAGAATATATTTTTCATCTGTTTCAAACTTGATCATATGAATTATATATGTGCCTTGTTTTCTCCAAATCCAATTAAATGCTATCTGATGTACAATTGTACCTATGTGTGAAATGCCAATATTGAAAACACTTTTTACTGTTCATTTCTTCTTTACAGGAATATAGAAGAGATCATGGCGGCTAAAGGAGAGAATATAAGATCCCAGGTGACCAAGGATGATATGTTAGAGATTTCAAGCCTCGATACCGATACTCTGAGTGACGAGAAAACATGATGGGTTAAATCAAGTGGACCATTTGCACCATTCATCTGAAGCAAGAGGATAAAATTTATTCTGCCGAGAAGCTTGACTACCAAAATCTTCTCTCTGAACTCTGGACTTATTTCCAAAAGTAGGAGAGCATGTTTTTATCATAAGTAAATCAATGTACACAGACCATTGGATCCATGACTGGAGTTACTGGATCGACAAGACTTATCAAAGTTTAAGGCCTAAATGTTGACATGTTCAATGATGATCTCAGATTGCAACTGCATTGAAGACCAAGTTGAAATGTTGTCAAAGGCAAGAATCTAGAGCCGCGTCAGATCTCTGGCTGTTCATAGAGTTGTGCATATTCAGATGTAGTCTCATAATTCTCATTCCCTGACTCACTTCAGACTTTCTTTTGTGATCATTATATATTTTTGCTGTACATGTATTACTGAAGAATAACCAAGAAAAGAGGATACAGTGAAAGACAAAATGAATTGCCAATTTTATATTTAAAGACACCAAAAGTTTACGCCACTTGAAAATTGTTCCATTTGAATGTTCAGTTCTATCCGGAGATTCTCGCCCGTTACATCAGCACAAGTACTCAACAGCCTTTTTCTGCAGTTGTGACCCGTTCTGTTTGATTCTTTGGCCATATGAAGAACTAGTGATATTCATGTGTCCATGTAAATAAAATGCATTTGTCACTTTTGTATATTATAAATGCCACGATTTTCAACAAAAATGTGTTGGTGTATTTTCCTTGTTCATGACCTGTATTGTAAAGAATTTGTGAATAGGAACAATTTGGGATGGATAGGAAAAAATACTGGAAAAGTGTTTTAACTTACTTTTTCTCCCAAGAATGTTTCAGACCCCTTTGATTTATTACACACTTGAAAATGAACACATAAATGACAAGGGTTTTATCATTTCTTGCGTCAAACACTTATTTTCAAATCTTTTCCCTATTCATCCCATCATGATACTATGTGTATCTTGATGTAACCTACAAGCTAAGGAGTGGTTCACAGGAATAAGAGCGAGAGAGAGAGAGAGACAGATATGAAGAAAGGCAGAGTGAGAGAAGGACGGAGGAATATGAGTGGTGGAGTGGCTATGAGGCTGTTCACACCGCAATGAGATAGCACGGTCTATCGTAGCACCCCCTTTTTTCTAGCGCGCGCTAGACCACGCTATCTTTCGTGGACCATCCCCAAGAGGCGCTCCAGTGACACGCCGTTTTGGCTTGCCGTGGCTCGCTGTTGGGCGGACCGAAACGACGTTGTACCTTCCAAACCGCAGAGATAGCGCAGTCTAGCGCACGCTATCTCTGCCGGTGTGAACAGCCTCTATGACTATGAGGGTAAAATCAAAGCACTGCTCATTGACACTAATGTATTGTATACCAATACCTACACTTTATTTACAGCATAATATCACATGTTCCGTAACACAACAGATCAGACATCTCAATTTAGTTGGACATTCCTGGATCAGTTTTCACAAAACTCTGATCCAGAGAAACAATGTACATGTACATAATCATCTCAACCTATATTAAAATCTAATTTTTTAAGTGATGAACTCTTGGGTACAACCTGTTGGTAGAAAATCATAATTCTTGGAGTAGAGTTGGTGTTTAAACTGTAAAAGATCAAAAGGGGATGATATATTTTCTGTAAAAAAAAATCCTTTATTTATGGCCTGTCTCACACAATCATAAATCTACTTGTAACTTTGAGAATATGTTGATTTTACAGCACATTTCTATGGAATGTCCACAAACTTAGTGTTTTGACAGTTTTTTGGAGTGGCAGGTCTCTAGTGTGACGTGTCATGATATAAAGGTACAGCCTGCTAGGCAAATTGTGTTTATCAAGGAATTATTAATAAATATATATTTCACTGGAAAATCTGAAGTTCTTAACGACAGGTAGAAGATAAGTTCAGATCATTATTTTAAAAAATATGGTTAAAATTTCAACAAGGAGATTCTGTTATGACACTTATTGTCATTTAACTTATATAAGCTCTGATTTATTCCATGATTTTTTAGTTCTGACAGGCAGCACATGTGCAAAAGCCAAAGTTGGTCAATAATACTTGTATAAAAACAATCTGTATCATTGATTTATAACACAAATTATAATATATTTGTCCATGGCTAGCGTTTAAAAGAAAAATCTTGCTTCTCCAGAGCTCCGTCTCTAAAGAGTTTTGATCGATCCAATATCAACTTGAAGTCAACTATCAATTGCAACTCTATACAATAGATAACTTTGCTACCGATTGGCTGACTTTCACTTGATTTTGATCAATTGCAACTCTTTCTAAAATACAGAACACATCTTCAGAATAATTAAAAACTGATATTATGATCATATTCATAATCTCAACAAATATTTAGGAATGGGTCTTTTAGTATCACATTATATCGTGTACTGTATGGAAAATCATGAGTGCAGGCTTGCTCCTTTCACAAATGTATTCAAAAGTTCAGTAAGAAGTAAAAAGGAATTTGATGCAATTACAGTACCTGTATTCCTTTGTCATGTGTTGCCATTTTATTTTAATGTAACTCTAAGATCTAAACATTCAAATGTTTAACAATTTCATGATGAAACTGATTATCAATTCTGTTTTTATTCTGAACATGCATCTTTTTCTCAGACAACCATAAAATTACCCAAGTACATTTACAAAGTTGTTTACAAAACCGCAGGAATGCATCATTCTCATTTTACACAATAACAAAGTGGCTACAGTATGTTGAGTACCAGTACCTGTCATTCGAACCAGCTACATGTACATACAAGAAACATAGGAGGACATGTCTGTCCAATGACTCCTATAAACAGAAAACAAAATAAAAATTGAAAATGAAGAACTCTTTTAGAGATGGCTTCTTTGAGATCACTCCCATGCCGATGTTAAAACGAGGATGTGTTCCATCTCGAGGCATCGTCTGAGCAAAACTTGGAGCCTCTTTATCCTCCTGCATACTCCCTCAACATTGACAACCCAGAGTTATTCTCCATGACTCAATGTCTGTTCAACTGATTTTGCTTGAAATCAAGCTTTGCTCTGTGTTGCCTCTTTCCGAGCAGCGTCCTGTAATAACTGTGTGTCGCACTCGTCCGCTGGCAGCTGAACGTATCGCACCACTGACCCTCGGATAAAACAGTTCTTCACAGAAAGCTGGACACAGAGAGAGATGAAATAATAATAATAATTATACTACCGGTATTGGATATTTATATAGCGCACATATCCACTCACGTAAGGTGCTCAAGGCGTGGTCGGTTGGATACGTCGCCGGACTGTCGATCACAAGGTCCGCGGTTCGAGTCCCGCCGTGGCACTAATGTCCTTTTGCAAGACATTGATCTATATTTGCCATACTCAACCCAGGTGATGTAAATGGGTATAACTGGCAGGAATTAATTCCTTGAAATGCTGGAGCACTGTATAAACGGCAGCCAGGCTAAAGCCGGGGTAATAATAAATGCGCCTCAGAATTGAATTATCTAGATAGACGGCGCTATAGAAATGCCTATTAATATTATTATTATCCTGGCTCTGCTAGGCTACTGTATCAGTGCTTGCAGCATTCAAGGAATTAATTCCTGCCGGTACCCATTTAACATTTGAGTGGAGAGTTGCAAATGTAGATTAATGTCTTGCTAAAGGACATTAGTGCCGCAATAGGATTCGAACCGTGCACCTTGTGATCGTTGGTCCAGCGACACATCCACTACACCACGACACCTCTAGGAAATCAGGAAGATTCTCTGAAGTACAGTGGAACTCGAACACAATCATAAGTTGAGTTTATGAAATGAAAACCAAGGAAATTTGGTATTTCAGCAAATATTTGATGATTTTCCTGCCTTTCTAAGCAAGAGATAATTAACTTTCTAGCTTCTTGTACAATTGTCCTAAACTTGGATGTCAATCCCTTCATATCTTCATCACATGACCCTACATGCAAATACAGGACCCTGCTTCATAAAACTTTATCAAAAACAAGTTACACTAACTGTTATAAGCTACTGAAATCATCACATTTGTTTGGCTGAGAGCAAATTTGTCACAGAAATTTAGCTTCTGTTCTTGTTAACAAGTCTTATGAAACAGGACCAAGGTGTCTTTCTTGGTGATCTACCAACTGACTTACCATATGTGGATACCTCTCTTGGTCTGTCACTGATATATCTGTCAGCTTGATGTTCAGGAATTGGTCTACGGAATGGAGCGTTCCACCAATACTGGATAAAAAAGATTAATTCAATCAACATCCAAACTTATAAAATACATGTAATTTATATACAGTAAAACCTGTGTTAGTGGCCACCTCTCTAATAAAGACCACCTGTCTATAGTGGCCATGCATTTTGTCTCCCTTGAGAGAGAGATGTGTGTTGTAGAATCTGTCTGCAGTTGCCACCTTTTCCGTTTCCCTCGAGTGGCCTTTATAGACAGGTTTGACTGTACCAACAATGAGAGCAGCTTAAAGAACATAATTGAATGTCAATTATCCCTCTTCATGTACAGATAATGGAGCATAAACGTAGATGATAATTTGGTTGTAAGTAATAGTGAACTATTTGGGTAAGGCACTCAACCAACTACAGTTGTGAAGAATTAATCAAGCCAACATCATTTAGAACAATTATACAAATAAGATTAACCCTGTCAATAATGTTTATTGCCATTAATTGACTTAGACACATACTCCTTGACAGGAATATCACAGAGTTGCCAATTTGCAAATCAATCACAACTTTAGAAATCAGTTTTTTCCCAAGAGTTTCTTGCTGTAATCAAAGCCAGTCTGGACTTCAAAATTAACATGGCAGCCATAAGTGTTTGGGTAATTATTGGGGGCATAGCAGGGGCATCGGGAGCAATTCGCTTTCAACTTTCTTTATCATTATTACTGTTAGTGTTAGCATTTTTTTTTCTATCTTGCTGGTTCAAAAAACTTTGATCAAAATTATTTTACCTGAGATCATTCTTGAGCTCCACTATCACATCTTTGCCCACCAAGGACTTGAAGAAAGAGTAGAACAGCTGAAATAAAGACACATATAAGATCATGACAGCAAAGATGTTCACAATGGAATAGGGCCCTATCTTTTTGCATCTACATGTATGTAGACTATATGTATCAAAATGCACCCTCTTTTGCCAGGTAGTTGTCAAAATAATTTCAATTAATTGAATTAGACAGTTGAGGAGACCAATGGTGGAAGAAATATTGAGAATGAATTCAAAGAATTACTTTATTTCGCTGTCAAAAACACCTTTTAGAGGAGTTTCAATGATGAATTATGGCTCACTGTTAAACTCATTTATTAAAAACATGGGATGACGCACAAACTTGATTTGATCTGGCATCAATTTTGATCGAGATCGCAATTTCTCCAGAAATCTTTTGATGGTAAATTTAATAGACTAGACTAAGTTTAAATTAGTTTAGAGCTAGACTACCGGTAATACATTTTCTAGTTGCACCATGCACCAATTTGTAGTCCAGAAATGTTGCTGTCCATTTGTATTTCGTAAGAACTGAACTATATTTGTGTAGAAGTTGAGAAATCATGGATCGAGTACCACATTCCTGATATTTTTACAAACTTTGGTTACTGCACTGCTAGCTGCTAGCTGCTCTGCTCAGCTCAGCAAGTGCCGCGCCGTGGCCGTGTCATGGCCATGCATGGTACATGGAATGGCATGCAACAAAAGTGCAGCAAGCATACACATAATGAACACCTACGCCAGAGTTACGGCTACAATCGTAGAGAATGTCCGATGAGAGGCACAACCCACGAGTGCGGAGGGAAGGATTGGTAACTACCGCATCTGCACGACTTTACAGGTAAATGAATAACAACAACAGTAGCCGAATCATGATTATTAATTCACAAATATACAAAGTGTAATAAAAACTCAATCACATACCATTTTTATCCGTAAGATGTGAACAATTATATATTTAACTTGATTTTGCCGCGGCCAAATGTCTCTGGAAATGATGATCACCACAAACGACTACACGCATGCGCAGATGTGGTAATGAAGAGATTTTTTTTCACCAAGTGAAGCTAACGTAGATGTGACCTCCACAAAATGATAGAATTTCTTGCCTTTGAAAGTGTGATTTAAAGATAGTTTTGACTGTAAGTATGCCTTGATACTTTATGTAAATGAAATATTAACAACAAATTTGTTTTTTCTTATATTTTAGTGTAATAATAACTCTATTATGTAGGATATTTTAAGGAAGTTATCGCTTGTTTACATGGTCCCACATACTGATGGCGATGTTGTGTAAATAGTGTAGATGTGCATCTGTCTTTCCTCAATTGTGCATTGTGTTGGTGTTGACATGTCAATGTTGGGTGACTGTGAGTGACAGCTGTGAATTTAATGTCAACTTTTTTTAATTTGTCTCTGATATATTAATAAATTAACAATGTAATTAACATATTTTACAGAGTTAGCAGACGAGGTGACGGAACTCTAAATTAATGTTAATCAAATGAAAAAATATTATTGGTCTAAATTTCAGTAGACTATGTTGCACATGATCTCTAGTGTGCCCTCAAAGTAGTTTTCGTCTATTAATCACAAGCATAAAGAAGAAGCTACCGGAAGACAGGATTCCCTTTTCTTCCGTATACTGTTGATGTTTGCCTTTGACCTTGACTTTAGCTTTGTTTGCATGTGGTGTTGGCATTATTGTGAAGTCCGAAGTCGAAGACGACAGTGACACTACACGTTCAATTAATGCAGTTTTATCCCAGTAGACATTGTAGAGTTTCATACATTGTAAGTCTTCATTTCATGAAATACTTGCCTGTGATGCTGCTGTGGCCTTGTCTTGGTTTTGCAAAACAGTGTCAATGTACTTTGTTGGTCAAGTTGGACTATCAAATCAGACAAGATGTAGATGTCTTTGACTTTTTCTTTGATTTATTCAGTATTAACCTTTTGACTTGGAGGCATTATGGATCATGATTTTGGATAAATCAGTTGCTAAAAGTTTGGACTCCTATTTACGACTTTTTTCGGTTGCAATGCCTCGCATTCTGACATTGACATTTTAGATCTCAATGTCACCATCATTCCTCGTCATTAAAATTTCTTGTCCAAATTTTTTTCAATTTAGTATTAATGAATCCAGAATGTTTTTTCTCACAATATTTGAGATTGGTACGCTCGAAAAATGAAGACAGGGCTAGGTTTCCGCTTGGTTGTATATGAACTCAACGAAATGCCAGTTGAGCAATTTTATTCAACCTGAAAGTAGAATAAAAATAAGCATCCTCAGTATACATGTCTATAACACATAAAATGTACTGCACTAAATCAGTATGCATTTATCCGGTAATGTATAATCAAAAGCCTTACATACATGTAGCATTTATTAATAGTCTTGACTCTATATCCAAAAACTCTCTAAAAGGCCTAAACCCCCTTTAATCTCTATGTCAAAATAACATATCTAGACTGAAATACTGCTTTCATAAAAACCCAAGTAACCAAGGCCCCCAGCCTAGATAAATTCCTAGTCAAGACTACCTTTAAATATATGCTGAAGAAGTTAATCCCATCTTACTCAAAGTATGTCAAACTTGTTTTTCTTATTTAGACTCATTGAACTTTCATCATAAATTCCAAAAACCTGACTTTACTTCAGTCTTTTTCTTTCATAACTCTTATTTATCTGACACTTATTTCATATGTCAATAACAATATTTGTCAACTAAAACAACCTTAAATCAACCTCTGACTAATGTCATTATAAGTTGGTGATTTCAAAAGCACAAAATCCCTCTTTATAAATGTGTGAATTAAACACTAACTAAATACTGCACATACTTTCAATGTAAACATACACATTACGCTACACACTTCTATACACATTAACATGCACATTACTAACACATCTTCGTACTCGAATGTGACACCAAATAATCATTAATTTCCACCAATTCATTATCATACACTTCATAACATCTTATCCAAGCTTTACTCACTTCTTTTGCGGAAATTGCTAGCGACTCTGAAATACCGTTGCCATTTTCCTAAACCTGGAATTCTGGCCTCTAAATAAGCATCTGAAATGATATGTCAGATCACATCCGTGGAAAAATGTGCTCTGCAACATATACACTTACATGACCCTAGAAGTAGGTCAGGGTCAATACGGTATCTTGCAAAAATCTTGGAAAAAACAAATAACTTTCACGTTTCGCTGAAACAGAGATCATGGATCAAAAAGTACATTCCTTAATATTTTTAAAGTGTAGAAGCTCAATATGATTCCAGATTGGATCTCTAATTCTCTATCGTGTTTGTACAGTATCAACTGAAAGTGTGTCAACACACAAGAGTTGGGCAAAAAGAGTTTCCCAGGCCAACCTGTAAAGCCATCACGGTAACACACAATGAGATTTGTACTAGCCTTCTTACATGACTATTTCATAGCTAGCTATTCACTGATCATGACTCAGAATTCCTTTTTTTCCATGTGAACAAGCAGTTAAGATTGTGTGACTGTTATCCCCAGTTTCAGTAGATTATTTCACTGAATTGTTCACTCTATTGTTCTTTCTTTGGAGAAGTGCCAGATTACTTAAACTTCAGGAGACATGACAGGACTATTTCTAGTGATACTAGTCATGTATCACCTTCAGAATCTTTATTAGTTTTTCTTGTCTTGTGTTTGACACCAGACACCCAATGTAAGAAGTTGGAACTTTAACTGTACTCTGACTTTTTCCCTTCCCTTTTGCAGTTATTTTAGAGTTGAGGTTCAATCATAGATGAATACAACAATGGCAGGTGCACAACAGGTGTTTGAGACGCAGCCCCAGCAGGCCAAGTTTGTCTACATATCCGATCGCCATCCAAAAGACACTCTTGAAATGACGAACATTCTCCGTAAGCAGCGAGAACTCTGCGATGTCGTCATCAACGTCAACGACAAAAAGATCTACGCCCACCGGATAATCCTGTCCGCCTGCAGCCCTTACTTTCGAGCCATGTTCACCGGGGAGCTCGCGGAGAGCCGGCAGACGGAGGTGGCTATCAGGGACATTGATGAGCGTGCAATGGAATCGTTGGTGGACTTTGCGTACACGTCCACGGTGACTGTCGAGGAGAGCAATGTACAGACTCTGCTTCCTGCAGCGTGTCTACTGCAGCTGTCTGAAATCCAGGAAGCTTGCTGTGAGTTTCTAAAGAGGCAGCTTGATCCATCCAACTGTCTCGGAATCAGAGCCTTCGCAGACACGCATGCCTGTAGGGATTTGCTCAGAGTCGCTGACAAGTTCACTCAACATAAGTTTCTGCAGGTATAAAATTCTTTACCAATGTCATACCATTATTTTGTCATACACTAGCAATACAATGTTATGTTTTTTTAAAAATCTGTATGTAATATTGGGGCAAATTAAGAATACTCCACCACAAAAATTGACCAAGTGTTCGTAGGATACCAAACGCAAGACTTAACACTAAACCTAATCCTAACTCTAACCCTAACTCTAACCCCAGGTCTTTGATGTTTATGTATAATGTACATTAACCCTGTTGGTGGAGTATTCTTAAGTTAAGCCATAATATTGAATTGGTAAAGTCTATGGACTTCTTCATCTACACAGTAGCTCTTCTCTTTTTTTGAAATGCACCAATATGTGTATATGACTTTGGTTCCATCCTTGGTAATAAGTTGCTAAACAATATAATGATACCACGTTCATTCAAAGTTTCTTCTTTATCATGAATCAGGCCATTTAATTACACTGTAGTTTGCCCGTAAATTGAGTTCATACAGTACTATTGTTAAAAACTTATTTATTTTATTGTAGAAAAAAGAGAACAGGGTCCCATTATCAATATTCTGCTTGCACATGAACATTCAGACTTAACATTGAATAATTATTGATGTGAAAACCGAGGTCTGGTCTCTGGAGAAGTTGTACATGTGTATTTATATAAAAACATTCTTATCATGATCATCTAATTCCTAGGTCATGGAAAGTGAGGAGTTCATGCTGCTGCCAGTCAATCAACTCATGGAGATTATTTCTAGTGATGAATTGAATGTACACAGTGAAGAACAGGTCTATAATGCAATCATCTCATGGGTCAAATATAACATTCCAGAGAGAAGAACACACTTAGCGGAGGTATGGTATTACAAACTTCTACTTTTAAATTGATCCGTCCAGTACAAGTCCACATTTTGTGGCTCACCTCAACTTTTTGTCCAAAGGAATCTATGTGATGCAAAAGCAACAGAAAGTGTTCAAATTTCTGCACAACTTTGGCCAATTTCTGTTGCATTGCAATACATGTCAGTTAATGTTTGGAATTTTGATAAGAAAATGATCATTAGATATTTAAATTGACAACTTATTGAAAGCAAATTTATGGAAAATCATGTTTTTTTAAAGTGCAGACTAATTTCTCATTTATTTATCTTGCTTTTAATGAAGTTTGACAGGTTCCACCAATATTCATAAATTAAGATGTACTTCGTTTGGATGAGACGTGATATACTGGTATATCTTTCACATAATATAACCACGCACGCCAGCTATTCCCCACTCCTGACGACGGAAAGTCAACCTGTTCGAAACGTCGAGCCCCACCTACCACCCATCCTCTCAAACCGACACTATAGTTTTGTTTAGAACTATAAGCTCAAAGAAAGATTACCAACAGTCCTTTTCAGGACTACACACACACACTCAAGAAAGAAAGATTACAGACAGTCCTTTTCAGGACTCCCCACTCCTCCCCCCCCCCCTCTCACATAGTGCAACCGTTAGCCTACTGTATAATATACTCTTCTAACATGTTTTTTTTTAGGTCTTACAACATGTGCGGCTCCCTCTACTGAACCCCAAGTTCCTGGTAGGGACAGTAAGCTCAGACCTGTTGATCCGGAGTGACGAGGCTTGTAGGGACCTGGTGGATGAGGCTAAGAACTATCTACTCTTACCTCAGGAGAGACCCCTGATGCAGGGTCCTAGGACCAGGCCTAGGAAACCAATACGGTGTGGAGAAGTGCTCTTTGCAGGTATATAGTTGATCTTTGGTCTTAACAAGTGTCATTGAATGTAATTGAATTAAACGTTCAAACATATCTTTGTTCAGCTTATAGCTATGCGCAGGCTGCACATGCCCAAAGTTGTATCCTCATATTTAATCTTGATTCATGACACATCTGTACATACATACATGCAAGTGCCATAAAGGCATTAATGCAATAGCCGCGTGTCTTCTGAGGGAAAAAAGATTGTTATGCATGATCAAAGAATTGGTGATAACATATTTCAAGCTTTATAAGAAGGCCATTGAATTTTACAAAGGACCCATTCTAGAGGATGACAGAGGAGTGATATGGAGTGATACTGCACTGGTCAAATGTTTTTGAAATTGGGATAACGTTATTCAATTGATTGATACACTACTACATCAGACTGAAAGATGTAGTCTGGTGTTTTGTGCTTTGTTCTAATAGTTACTCAATACTTTCACATCTGCAAGTGGTCCCTCTCACCTTCATGGAAAGGCCAATTGCATCAAATTGAATTGAATTGAATTGTTTACATGTTTAGTTGGAGGTTGGTGCAGCGGTGATGCTATCTCTAGCGTTGAGAGGTTCGACCCACAGAGCGGTGAATGGAGGATGGTAGCACCCATGTGTAAGAGACGTTGCGGTGTGGGCATCGCTGTGCTAGATGACCTCTTGTATGCAGTCGGAGGTCATGACGGGTCATCGTATCTCAATAGCATAGAGAGGTGAGTCATTCATGGTCCGTTTATCTCGGGTGCTCCGTTATTAACGAGCCTTTGCTTTTAGGGACACTCAAACTGCTTATTTTGTATTACATGCTTTGTATATTTGATTTTAAAGCCCCTCTGCACTAGTTGGGCCAGGAGGGATTATACCTTCCTGCATGGTCACTGACAGGTGGTTATCTCATCAAATCAGCTCTCAATTAACATAAGAAAAAAGGGATCATGGGGATCATAGAGGGCGCAAGTAGCTATAAGTAGTGCAGTGGGGCTTTAAATCGTTGAATAACGTGCACTGAACTACATGTATTCTGAGAACTGAAAATTGTTTTCTTTTCTGATGTAAATGGTTGGGTTTAAGTTCAGGTATACATTTGATAGGTCCACATGGCAAGAAAAGGTAGGGTTTCTTTTGTAGGGAGTGAAACAGTGCTAGTGAAGATGGACTAGATTTTCTTTTTCGTTTTTGCTCAAGCTCAGAATTAAAATCAGAACAGAGAACACAAAACCCATGGGGCTGAGGTACTATTAGAACCTGACATGACAGCCAAGTCTAGTGTGGTTTACAAGTGGCCATCGTAAATAGAAATTGAATTCTCTCTCGCCTCTCTCTTAATTGAGAACTTCAATTTTTAAAACTATTTACCTGTTATTGAAATTGGCTATTAAAAGACATTTGGAAATGTTATTGTTAAGTATCATCCCCAAATAAATTGACTTTATCTTCACTCATCAGATATGACCCTCAAACAAACCAATGGAGCAGTGATGTTGCTCCGACGAGCACATGTAGGACGAGTGTGGGCGTGGCGGTCTTGGACGGTTACATGTATGCTGTAGGTGGCCAAGATGGTGTATCATGTCTCAACATTGTAGAAAGGTACGATTCTTCTTATCTAAAACATTCCATTATGTCATGGATGCATACTGCTTCACACACAAATGACCACAGGCCACATTCTGTATCCATTCCTTCTTATATTTTCCTTTCTCCTTTTTGTTGATATACAGTAATTGATTTTGTGTATTCCAAGTACAGTAAAAGCCTTATCACATACATGTATATATTAAACTGTATGTATTATGCATCCGAACAAAGCCAACTATTGTTGATATTGAGTGTAAAGACTGTCACATTAATTAAATTACAACTTCTTCTCCAAGACCTTTCAAAGGCTGGTGATCTAGGGCATCTTGCCTCTTTCATAATGTCCAAGTGTCTTTCCCATACATTATCATCTGTATACACATTAAGGCTGTGCATTACCGTGTAATGAGGTACTCCAGTACACTCCCAGGCTTACAGGCGTTTTTCGAAGACGGACCTGGGATACTTGTGTGTATGGTACTGGCCAAAAAAAACACTATTATTTTCCTTCTTAAAAAAAAAAAAAAATTAAGAAACATGGCGTCCAAGTATTCGAGTACGAGAAATCTTACTCGAGTAGTTGTCATCAGTGAGAGTACTCGAGTATTCGGGTACTCGTCGCAGCGTTAATACACATCTACTTTTTGTACAACTATCCACAAAATTTTTCTTGCTTTATCTAATGTTCTTTGTTGTGTGTTTGTTTGGATGCATTTCAGATATGAACCACACGCCAACCGTTGGACAAGAGTAGCATCTATGAGTACCAGAAGGCTAGGAGTGGCTGTAGCTGTCCTAGGTGGCTTCCTCTATGCTGTAGGTGGATCGGATGGAACATCGCCTCTCAATACAGGTAGGTTTATATCAGAGTATCTTCTATGAGTACCAGAAGGCTAGGAGTGGCTGTAGCTGTCCTAGGTGGCTTCCTCTATGCTGTAGGTGGATCAGATGGTACATCGCCTCTCAATATAGGTAGGTGTATATCAGACAGTAGGTGTAACGGTTGGAGAGGCTTCCTGTTTGCTGGAGACGGATCAGAGAGGACTGCAGATCAATTATTACTTTACCACTTCATGCTCTAGAGCAAATTTTGTACAACAGATAAACAATCAAGTTCTTAGTTTGAGACCAAATATACAGTGCGTCCCAGAAAAATGAAACCGAGAACTATAAATGTTTTTTCATAACTGAATTAATAATTTACACATATTTGTAAAGCTTAGATCCTCCTCTTTCATTTGATGCAACTCATATGATGCATGAAGTCTTTCGTCTTCTAGAAATGTGATTTTCTCTTTGAAATTCAGATACCGGTCGCTTAATGACTTTTTGTACCCTATCTTCAAATTGTTTTTAATCACTCATGTATGAAAAATGCATCATATGAGTTGCATCAAATGAAAGAGAAGGATCTAAGCTTTACACATATGTGTCATTTATTAATTATAATTGTGATTAAGTTATGATAAAACATTGGTAATTCTCGGTTTCATTTTTTTTGGGACGCACTGTATAAGTTCCTTTTGGAGCCTACACGTGTATGTTACTACTTAATATCTTATCACCCCCAAAATCAAAGAAATAAACAAGAAATTACCAAACATTCATTTTCTTTTTTGTCCAGTTGAAAAGTATGATCCTCGAACAAACAAGTGGACTCCGGTGGCACCGATGGGTACGAAGCGCAAACATCTAGGATGTGCAGTCTACAATGACATGCTGTATGCAGTGGGTGGAAGAGACGAACAGACTGAATTGAGCAGTGCTGAGAGATATGATCCTCTATCCAATACATGGAAACCTATAGTTGCTATGAACTCGAGACGGAGTGGGGTAAGTTGATGATGTTTTAATAATTGGCGTTCTTACAACCTTGGGTTTTATTTATCTCTTGATGTAAAACACATTATCCATGGTCACTGGTACAATTACAATCTTTATACTGGGGAGTGTTTCACTAAGACTAAGCTTGACTTTAAGTTGGACTTAACTATGGCAGGCCATTCATGCCATTGGTTGCTCTCCGTATTGGTCTCTCAACTATGTTCTTTAGATAATATTTTTTCCTTCAATATAATGAACCATCAAAAAAATGTAAATTCTGTAGATTTGTGACCATGATTTGTTTGTCCCTTGAGAGACCAATGCCAGTAAACGGTGAGAGCAAACAGTGGCATGAATGGCTTGTCATAGTTAAGTACAACTTAAAGTCAATCTTAGTCTTTGTGAAACACTCCCGTTTTATTTTTGATGAATATATGTACCTGTCTCCTAGCTTGGTCTTAATTCTGCACCCCCCCCCCTCCCCAAATCATGATCTGATTCGTAGAGATTGATAAGGAAAATATGATGTTCTAGAAGATAAACAGAAATTTAAGACCTCCAACTATTTGATATATTAAAACAATGACTTTTTTACTGTGGTAGTTGCCTATCTGCACTAGTTTGGCCAGGAGGGATTAGACCTCTCATCAAATCAGCTCTCAATTAACATAAGAAAAAGGGGACCATGGGGGACCAATGGGTACCGCTTAGGCAGTGTTGGCTATATAGAGGGTGCAAGTAGCTACAAGGAGTGCAGTCCCGCTTTAATAGGATGTGTTGATCAAAGTGTTTGTATTTTGCTGCTAGAGTAAATCTTTATTTTGTTATCCATCTGCCCAGTGTGATATTATCCCTGCATCTAAATATTGGAATAGGCTACCTTTAATACTCCGGCAATCACCATCTGTCTCTTTATTCAAAAAGGGACTTAAAACATTTCTTTTTTGTAATCCAGATCTTTAGGATTCTGTAAGTTTCATTTGCATTTTTTGTAGGATTCTTGTTGTAAGCGCTTTGGGCCGCTCTGGCAAAAGCACAGTATATCAATAATAATAATAATAATAATAATTTTTATAATGTTATCACTTTGAATGCCCACTAGGTTGGACTTGCCGTAGTGAACGGTAGACTGATGGCCGTGGGTGGGTTCGATGGGACCACGTACCTCAAGACGGTAGAAGTCTACGATCCAGACACCAAATCATGGCGTATGTGCGGCAGCATGAACTATCGTCGATTGGGAGGAGGTGTCGGGGTCGTCAAACTTCCTCAATCGGAATCCAATGTTTGGTAGCACAGGACTATTTCAGACTTTTTTTCTTCTTTTTTGTTTTTTCCAGAATGTGTGTTATATGAGCTGTACGTTCAGTGTAAATCATGGCAATGAACTATCGCCGATTGGGAGGAGGTGTCGGGGTCGTCAAACTTCCTCAATCGGAATCCAACGTTTGGTAGCACAGGACTTTTTCAGACTTTTTTTCTTTTTTTACCAGAATGTGTGTTATATGAGCTGTACGTTCAGTGCAGTTTAGCGCAGTATTATAGGGTGTAGGTATTTCACAGATCGTCTACTTGGAAGCAAAAGGATGTTAGCTTAGTGAGTGGGAAAATGACTTAAAGGGGATGTAGCATGGCAAATACTGGTTAACGCCATCTACGACTTCTTTTGGACAACTGCATTTTAACGAATGGACTTATGTTGTTCGCGAAACAGACCAAAATATCTCCTCACGCTTCGGTTTCGCATATGGAACACGAACATGAATATTGCGGTCGCGTCATCCGTAGTAATATACCCGATTGGCCTCGAGTCAGGCCACGGGAAAGACAAGTAGTCTCGTCATGCTACAACCCCTTTAATGTCCTCCTGGCCTCCGAGCTTATGATGTATTTGTTGCATTGGAGATGTTACTCTTGGATATTGACCCAGTTCACCCCTCCTGGTGTAGCTGACTGATTGAAGGAACCATTTTTTAGCGACCGTAGAAGAATTGCGCCTCCCAAGAGAAGATGTACCTGATGAGTGTGTCAAGTTGATAGCCTCAGTAGAGCTCAGATCAGACCATCAAACTCGAGGGAATGATTATTTCAAAGCCATACTGTATAGAAGCACGGCTGCAAAATCTCCCCCAGTGCCATCTCAGGTCAGCTGTAACAGTATGGTCCCGCTACTCGCTGCTTCCCTAGCTGCGCTGTTGGTTCTTGCATTGAGTCCTCGATCTGCAAAGTGGGAATTAGGTATCGGGTCACGCACTGTTGGCAAGTTGACTATGAAATGGCACTGCAGTAAACTGTATGCTATGGCAGGAAGTTAATCAGTTCAATATCTCTTTAATCAGGGATGCCAGTTTTCAGGCAATAGCCTGAATTCAGGCCCTGGCAAGTTATTTTCAGACCATAGTTTAGGCTTTTTTGTGTACAAAATAGCTCATTCTAGCTGATTTTCAGGCCCTCGATCAATACTAACTGGCATCCCTGTTTAATGCATATTCATCTACCATTATACCTGGTAATATATGTGGGTAAATACCTTAGATTTACCCTCAAAAGAAACACTGTTGAGTTACACTTTCAGTTGACAATTACTGCTTTTCGAAACAGTTGATCGTTGAAAGTGTTTGGTATCATCACATTTTGTAGTATTATACTAACAACAAATGCAGCAAACATGATTAGATATACACGCCTACACGTTCATGCCTATGCATTTATCAATGAACATGCAGGCACCTGTATATATCATGCCATTCATTGTGAGCACAGATAAGATGATGCATAGTATTACTTTAATATAGGATGCATAGTAGACAGAGAGCTTAGTGTACATTACAAACCATGTACATACAAATGAGATAGAAATTTACGTGTAAATATTGTGAATAAATCACTGGAAGAGTCAATTGTATTCAGTATCATATTAACAAAGAAAAAGCAAGAAGATTTGTACTGAAAACAGTAAATATTGTTTCTTTCTAAAACGGTAGAAACTCTTGGTAGATGAGTTGTTTTATAATTCACACTGCAAATTTTTAAAGGGGTGTGTGTGATAACGTTTCTGTATTTTTGTTATTGTTATTGTTGTTGCCATTTTCTCTCCATACTCTCTCCTTTGTAGACATTTCTTATAAAACATACACTTGCCCTGTAAGTTTTCCGCTAAAGGCAAAGCTTTTGTTTAATATTTATGTTATCAAAAAGCATTTCATTGATTTTTGCAGTAGTTTGTCTCTAAAATCTATGACATTTAAACACTGAAGGGGATTTTTATTTGATTTGAATAGATAAATAATAATAATAATAATACACAAGATTTATAAAGCACCATTAATTTTTTTTTTTATCCATTCTAACTAAATGCTCAAGGCGCTGCTATTAAAAGGAGAAAATCTGTCATATTTGTCTGAACTTCATAGAGGTCAGTACCTTGTGTATGTGTTTATACAATTCCATTTTTAATAGTATCAGAAATTACTTACCATGCATAGATGAAATGAGCAAAATCCACTGCAAAATTTAAATCCAGTTTTCTTGCTTTACCCAGTTTTGTTCAGACTGACCGCATGTAGTCTATTCTTAAGAAAACAATTATGAATTTCTCTTAAAATTTGCTATTTCTGTGCTGCAATGTGTAATAGTGAAATTAGAAAAGAAAAAGAAAACTTTTGTTTGGCCATTCTTCTAGAATTTTTTTTCCTGTTTTTTTGAGAAGGATGAATCAATTTGGTTTTTGCTTGATGTTTGGAACAGGAAATTTTAGTAGATCCTTGATTTCTGCTCGTAATGAAATTTTAATACCACCCATACTACCATTATCATACAACTCTTTTTTTTTAATACCGATACATTTATTTTGTTTCCTCCTCAAGACTTGTCTTTAGCATGTAGCAAAATATACATTAATTAGTTAGAGCATGTTTGTTTATTGTGCAATAATTCTACCTTAGTAAACCTATCTTTCACTGCTCACATGTACCTGTATATTCATATATTGTATTTATCACTTCTTTCGTAGTCTTTATCACCCTAATTAAGAGATTGTCAGTGTAAGGATTCGTTCAGATATGACGGGGTAAACTACCGCCAAAAAAACGTCATGATTTTTGTTAATGTGCAAATGAATGGCAACTCCAAGCAACAAAGTTCCTGCGGGTATACAGTGAGCTCTGTGTTATAACATACGGAAATGTGAAGTGTATTACACTTTATGTCATAAAACACTGCTGCGGTTTTTCCGCATCATATCTGAACGAAGCTGTAGTCTTCATATCATTGTGGAGAAATTTGTGATTTATGAACCATACTGAGGTCAACTATTAAAGGAAATCATTGAAAAGTCAGAGTCAGACCAGTGAGACCGTAATTGTTAGTCTCATTGGCCATTGGCTAACTGGTCTGTAGCTCTATGTTGTGATCACCCATTTCTTGTTTCCATGACATTTATCCATGGAAATGTGGTATTCCTCTCTGATAATATTGTTAGTCTATTGGTCCTTACATAGCTAGGTAACATTAACGTATTAAAGTTTAAATTTCAAAATCTTGTCTCCTGAAATAAATGCTTTTTCCCAGTAACACACCTTATATGTTTATTTTACTTGTGTTTTTTTGTTAATTTTTCAGCACGGTTAAGTTTTGTAGCTGGAAATTAATGTCCAAAGCTTTGTGGCTGAAAAAATATCCATTCCATGTCATGTTAAGATTTTTTACAAATTCGTTCTTGTGGAAAGGCAATCTTCTGTAATTTGTGTGAAGATGAATGCTGCTTATCTTTTTAATATAGACCATCAAAAATAAAAACAGTAACAGTTGTAAATGTAATTTGATATCAAAGAGCATTATGTAATGAAGCATATTATCTCAATTTTAGATGTCTAACTCACATCCTCGACAAGTTTATTTGGTTTGAATTGTAGGAGTATACAGCACATTTCCTTTCCAGGACCCTGTTTCGTAAACCTTGTTATTCATAACAAATGCTAGATTTCTATGACAAATTTGATCTCAGCCAATCAAACGCCTCGATTTATTAAAGTAGCTCATAACAGTTATTGTAACTAGTTAATATAGAAAAGGATTAAGATTATCACTAATTGTAAGATGAGAACGATGGGCAGTGATGTGATTTTAGATTAGCAAAATGATTTCTTCTTTTTCTTCTCATCTTCCAATGTGTGAATTTATTGAAATGCAAATTGTATTATTAATTTTATTCAAATACAGAGAATTTTGATTGGAATTTTGATGATGTTTTGATGCTTCCATTACAAATGCAAAGTCAAATCTTTAAAAGTGTTAATGCAATTGAAGATTAGCTTAGAAATAGAATAGAAAGCCCTATCATAGCTTAGAGCAACTATGTGCTGAATACTGAATTCTCTCATTGTTTAGGATACTTGAGACTTTTGAATATTGTGAGAAAAAAATTATGCCATTTTTTGTGAATTGAATTTTAATTTGTCCAATTTTATATGTTCTTAATTATTATTTAGATGAGACCCACAGATACACATGTATACTTTTTTTGGGTCTAATTTTCAGTTGTATTATAAAATTTTGTATTTCTTTATCCTTATAAACTTGCCAAAAATATATCATTACTTTAATGTATAAATAAACCCCAAAGAAGATAACATTCTTGATCATGTAACTATAATATTTCATAATCTAAATTTATCATTTTGCATTTAAACTCTACATTCTAAATTCATATAAAACTAACAATACATCATCTCCTTATAAAAGAAGTGATCATTTATGTGCAAATTTGAATACCGGTAAGGAAAAGGGAAGAAAAGAATCTATCCGGTAGTCATATATTCTGTGGTGAAAACGTCTTAACCAACAGTTTGTGTACAGACTTATGCACATTACCACAAGAATGTTATTGTATATGTAGCGTATTAGTTATTTATTCATCTCTGTCTAACTCATTGAGAAACTGAACATGACAAGGTGTGAGAAAAATGAGAATTGTATTATTCTGAATAAATGAACAAAAATGTATTTTTACTGTGCTCAAAATGCTTTCATTTTAGAAGAGAATATAATCTACTGGTACATTGTTCCACTATTGTTTATTGTAAGGTGTTTATAGACATTTGTCAATCATAATACTGCTTGGGAGCCTCTTGAAGTCTTTAGGAGTCCTCTGGAGTCTTTTGGGCCATTCTTATACAATGTACATCCCCATTCGTCATTGTCAGTCTGGTAATGGGCCCAGAATCTTATGAATCTCATGAGGGATATTCGCATGGAACGATAAAGCCAAGAGCCATCTTTGTGTTTCATTTAAAGGAATGCTCGTCACATCATAATGAGATACATATTTATTTCATTCATTAACCATCACTTTACAGTATATGCTTAACTGTTCAAACTACTTGTTGTCAGGGGACCTGTATTGTACATGTATATCTTGATTATTGCTTAAACTCCATCCACTTTTGTAAAAGAAAGTCATATAAAACACAGCCTGTATTGGGAATGCACATGTATGTAATTTATCTTGTATTACCAGTAGCTCCTATCTAAAATCTGTTGTAAAAATATTTTCATTTACAGATTTGACCTCAGGTGATATTCTGACAAGGATGCTATATTTTAAATGAATGTTAGCTGTCAAAACAATTCAAAATTAGTACATGTCACTGATTCATTTTTATCTGCGCAGAGATAGCTGCATTCGCTTAAAGTTAAAAGGGAGATCTGGGCAAGCACCAGTGGTCTTAGTTCTTTGCAGTTTCAGTTTGTTATTGCAATTGGCATAGTTTGTCTAACATGATATAAATCGTTTTTAGAATGAGGCCCTTTGTTAAAATGAACTTTGTTCTTTATGTGGTTGAAGACATTCTTTAAATGCAGATGACGTTCTATCAGAAGTTTATCTCCCCAAAGTGTCCACATTTTGACCAAATTTAAAAACCAGTGCAGGATTTATAGTCTATTCTAGATTTTAGTTTATACAATCAGAGCTGTTTAGACTGAGGAGTTAGTCGTTTTATTCAACGCATCTTTGACCGTTGAGGCCCTTTCTTACAAAACTTCACATCAATAACAGCTGTTATTTATGTACCAATTTTGCCCACAGCCAATCAAATGCAATGATTTGAGTAGCTTTATATAGCAGTTACTGTATCTTGTTATTGATATCAAGTTGTATAAAAGGAGGCCCTGATTTAGACCATGCGAGTGTGGTATATACGGTATTGTTTAGTAGTGTGAAAGGACTAAAGTCTTGTATGGACTGCTCAGGATTTTATTAACTGCTTTATTGTTCCACGAACTACATGTTTCAAACTATGTCAAATAAAGCACCTACATGTATTAAAGTGCTAGATCACAGGGGTTAGGGAAGGGAGGGGGGGGGGGGGTGGACCATGTGATATTGATATACATGTGTAATTTGAAATGGAATGAAAAGGAAACTGTGATGCATGTACCATGTGATGTTGATAATGATATACATGTAATTTGAATGTAATGTATATTCAACATGGGTTGTTTGGATAGACAGAGAAGCATGATATGGAAGATGGAATAAAGATATACAATATGCATAAACTATACGTTGTCATGGTTGTAGTACATGCTGTCCAATTTGTTGTCTTGAGATGGAGTTGCAGAAGATATCAGAAGAATGCAATACTAGTACAGTGTAGTTGATATATGCTGGGGGATGCGACAGATTGAGAGAGAAGGGGACAGAGAGAGGGGAATGGGGAGAGAGAGAGAGAGAGGAGAGAGAGAGAGAGAAGGAGAGAGAGCGGGAGGAAGGGAGAGAAGGGAGGGGGAGTAGCAGAAAGGAAGCAAGGTCAATGAGGATGGTAGCAAGTATTAAGGGAGAGAGAAAGAGTGGGGAGAGATAGAGATTGAAGGAAAGAGCACACAAAGAAGAGAGGGGATAGAGTGTGAGATGGTAGAAAATGTAAGGCAAGACCAAGAAGCATGTAATGGAGAGAAAGAGGGTAATAAGTAACAATGAAAAGAAAAGAGAAAGAGAAGAACAGTGTAGACACAAGAGGTAACTTTGTAGGCCGGGAGGGACGAGGTTTATATTATGGTTGCAATAATTTCAGAAAATCTGTTCACTATAATTTCCCTACCTTAAAGGTACTATGTCCCATTTGCAGGCCAAAAAATGAAAAGGTTAAATTCCAACGGTATTTGAAAGATAATGCTAATTTAGAACTTCCCTAAAAAAAAAAGGAGGCTTGAAAATGTCTTCAAGTGGGAAAATAACGACTATTAGTTGTCAAATCGACTTAGGAGCTATAGAGCCAATAAGTAATAATCTTGATTTTCAGACCATTGTACCAAATGGTCATACGTTTTATGCTGCGCAAAGATTCAATCAGTTTAATTTTGGCCATTACAAGAAGTGGGTTATTGATGTAGACAAATGCTCTTGTACCCTTTACAGCTCATTACCAAAGAAGGAAAAAAAAGCCAGTCAGTCACTCAATAGTGTCTGTCAGTGAAGTCTAGCAAGTAAACAGCTTTCTTTGCATAATTTGAATATTAGGACATTGCTAATGTTTAAATTTCACAGATAGGACATACATGACATATTCATAATTTCTGCAAAGTTCTACAGAATTTGAGGTTGGCTGCAAAAGGGACATAGTATCTTTAAACTACTGCTTACATAAATACTGCACAGCCTATGTGAGTTATCTAATGTTATGTGGGCACAACTTTGCATTGCATTTAGTTATTATCTAAGCAATTTTCTGAAAAAGTTTGCAACCCAACTTGTATAAAACTCACCAGCCATTAAAATTAGGTCAGCACACAGGATACAGGTGATACTTTCTACATTTATTTATTTACATACATGAAACAACAATGTACATTTCTTACAATAACTACAAGCACATTATGAATATATGCTCAAAAATACCTATCAGCATTTCAACACTGGTATTTTCTATATGAACGTCTTACATCTCATATTGCATTAATTTCACTAAATTATATCATGGGGTTTCATTTTTCCCTTCCAAACACCGAAAATCATGAAATGATTTCTTGAAGAGTAAACTCTAACACTATAACCAACCAACCCTCCCACATAGTGATGAGAGGAGGACAGAAGCTGTGACAAATGCACAATTGTACAAGGCAGGACAAGATCCGGGGAAGGTATTCAGTTCCGTATCTATGTCAGGAATATGAGTATTTTACTTACAGTAGATAAAATACTAAATTTGGTATTGATGAGTTGAAGCTTTTGGCTAAGTATTTTACCCTAAATTCAAGACAGCTTACAAATGACATTTGTAAAGCACTTCATACTTCAATTTTTCGAACTTATAGTGCTTTACCGATCGTGATGCTATCCATTAGATTTCAAGCACACAATGAATATGTGCACCATCTCCACTCACGGGCTGGTATTCCTAGTTATTCAGCACATGCTTCAGCGATAATTGCTCTGCACTCTTTATCTATTTCATAAAAAATACTGGGTTTAAGGTGACAGTTGCAATCTGGTTTTAGATTAGGCCAAGGGTTATGATTGATATACTGTAGTGATGGGTCTAGGGTTCGGAATCTGGTTCCAAAATGAAAAACTGGTGACAAATTATCTTATGACGGAGCATATGTAGAACAATCACGTTCTGAAACTGAATGTTCAAATAACATCTTAAATGCACGATCACATGTACATGATCGCCAGGCAACAATAAACTGATTGTCAATCACAATTCACAATGCTGTACATAAGAGATAACTGTAATTTTGTAATTGATTGGTCGACGGTCGAATGATTTGGATCAACAGATTTTGAAAATCAAAGTGATGATCTGCATCTTCACAAGTCCAAACATCGAACTGGTATACAACCACTACTTCTCTCCTGCCATAGCCCATCACATTCAATGATTATCTCCCTTATGCGAATGGCTCATTATTGTCATATATCATTTTTCTCTGTCATCCTAGCATTTGGTGATAATCTCCCTTATGCGAACGGCTCATCATTGCCGTATATCATTATTCTTTGTCATCCTGGCATTCGGTGAAAATCTTTCCTATGCAAAAGGGTCATCATTGTCTTATATCTATTATGCGAACGGGTCATCATTGTCTTACATCTCTTATGCGAATGGGTCATCGTTATCATACACCACTACTTCTCTACTGTCCTTTGGTCTTGTCTTGGTGATCCCACCAGCTGTGTAAAAGGAAACAAAAAATAAAATCAATTACAACCCTGTCACAGAAAAACAAATAATATATCTTTCTGTTGTTTTAATGTTGAGTGCTTACTATATAGAGGGGAACTGAAGAGAAATCTCTAGATCATTCTTATAAGGCCTGTCCTTATCAGCTCGAGTCCAGGAAATTAGCCAGATCAAGAAATAGCGGGCTATTTGGCAGGTGAAGACGCAAACAGTGAGCTATTTGCTTTGGAAATCTTCCCAAGATATCTTGGGCTAGTTTGCAAAATAGCCCGCTATTTGTTGGTCTGCCTTCACCAGGCCGAAGACTCGCACTATGCACAAAGGCTGAGCAAATTTTTTGAGTTCGGTTTCGAGATGAAGACACAACTTGTAACTTCGGGCTAATTTCTCCGATCACAAAATAGCGGGCTATTTGGCCAACTCGAGCTGATGAAGAGAAGCCTATTGTGTCTTTAAGCCCGTCTGCACTAGTTTGGCATGGAGAGATTAGACCTCCCTGCAAGGTCACTGGCAGGTGGTTATCTCATCAAATCAGCTCTCAATTAACATAAGAAAAAGGGCATCATGGGAGATCAATGGGTACGGCTTAGGCATTGTTTGCTGTATAGAGGGCGCAAGTAGCTATAAGTAGTGCAGTGGGGCTTTAAACTGTCAACAAACAAATCTGTTCATCTCACCTATCTTGGTCCAGGGTGAGTTGGTGTTATTCTGGACTGCTTCTAGAGAAGGCTGTCTCCTGGCCATGGCTACTCTGACCGTCATTCCATTCACCATGGTACCGTTCATCTCTTCAATGGCCTTGTCTGCGTCCTCCATTTTATCAAATGTGATGAAGGCACGTCTGATACATAAAATAATCAAAATCATAAACCATAAAGATGATAATAATGACAACAACAACATTAATAATAAGGATAATAATAACAATAATGATAACAATATAATTATAAAGATATATTGACTGCTATGAGAGTCATCGCTGTTTCTATAGGCTCAAGGGGACATTACATTCTGATATGACCCTGAGGCGCAACGGGGCGGGCGGCGACCCGAGGGGAATTCATTTATGCGGCCCGTTAACCGTTTAACTATTGACCGGTAGGCAAGCATGGCTAAAATCACGACTCCAATTTTGACCAATCAGATGACTAGATTAATTCAACAAACTAACGAAAGGTATGTTGTATTGGATAGTTTTATAGTGCTTGTCATATCTAACATATATGGGGCACCAATTTCGGTGCATTCAAGAAATTCCTTCCTTCGGGCAGTCATTGGACACCTGGGTGGAGAGAACCCACTACCAGTACCTTTGCATCTCCAGTCACTGCAGTCTAGTGTTAAACCAATCGACCATGACACCTCACCATCATCTTCATCTACTTAAGGGGCCCCTCTATGGGAGGGGGGAGGGAGAGGGGGGATAGGTGACCGTTGGTCAGGACGTCTCGTAACTATTCTTTTTGTATCTCCATCTGTAGCCAACTCCAATTCAAATTTTCTTTGTTTAATTTATGCAGTCTATATATTAATTCCTTGGTTAGCTTCCCTTTCTCCTTCATGGGGAACCCAGATCTTAAAGGGAGTGTAGCATGACGAGACTACGTGTCTTTTCCGTGGCCTGACTCAGGGCCAATCGGGTATAATACGACTACCTACGACCACCGCATTATTCACGTGCATGCACAATACGAAGCGTGAGGAGAACTTCGGTCCATAGAAATGTCTTAATAGATCTCTATGCTTAGGTCTGTTTCGCAAACGCTAGCGACCGTTTAATCAAGTCCATTCGTTTACGTGCAATTGTCCAAAAGAAGTCGTAGATGGCATTAACCAGTATGTGCCATGCTACACCACTTTAAATGAGCGCCTTCCGGCATATAACAAACATATATGGAGTTTGCATTTAAGACAAATATAAATGAACATAGTTTCTCCTTACTGGGTGTTTTACATATATTCTAAGGATGCTTACTTTCTTTCTACTTCCAGTGAGACGTTGGCCATCGTACCAAACCTGCTGAAGGCTTGCTTACACAGATCCTCGCTGATCTCAGGAGAAGTTACAAAGATTGTGTGTCCTTGCTTTTTACCACCTTCTTGATCTACAAGGCAAAGGACAAAATTAAAATAATTGTTAATTTCATAATATTGATGAAGGATAATACAATAATCACAAGAGAAAAAAAATGATAAGAGGAAATGTTATTTCAACTTATTTGTTGTATGTTGAATCCTTAACTGCTTGGACCCTAATGACGTGACAAAGTAAAACATATCCTTTAATATTTTGTAAATAATTGCTCAATTCATACATGAATGAATTATAAAATAAAACCATATATACCTAAGGTTTTACTAAAGTTTGTAACGATTGGTAATTAGTATTCAAGAAACATAAAATGGGACATACATACATGAGCACATACTGTTCTAAAATATTGTATAGTTCTACTATCACATATCTTTGTGAGATGCAAGTGAATACATTCAATTTGTTCCATGACTTTAACCCCAAAGTATATTAATAAAGCTCAAGAGTTACATCATCCTTTTCTGCACATTTGACATTACACTGTAACACTACACAAGAATAAAAATTCTGCTATGGATACTTTTCATGGCAAATCAAGTATATGTCGCCCATCTACATGTATAACAATAAAAATCATTACACACAAAAAAAACTAACAGGATATGAAGATCTGACTCCGCGTATCGATATTCTGTAGAGTTTGAGAAGCTTATACTTACTGAAGCCACGTTTCTCATCCTCAAGAGTTCCACTGCTCACAAAACTGAACATGATGGAGCAAAAAAAGTAAAACAAACATGAGATGACACAGCAACAAGGGCTTTGTTTACAATAAATCAACTGAGGTTGGGTATCTTCAATTACGTATTATAACTAGGAAATCTAAGGAAAGGTATTCGTGTAAATTGACCTTTATGATCTCAGAACTTTGAGCAAATAACACACAATGCATTAGTTCATCAGCAAAGTACTGGTTGATGCCTCCTAACTTTCTTGAAATATAGTGATGGTGAGATGGAAAGAGATATGAACAACAAGAAAGCAAAAACCTTCCGGATTATCTTTCTGTGGTAGGCAAGTTTAATAGTAGGCCTATCTGCAGTGTATCTGCAGTGTCTCTATATGCAGTATTTTACTGCTATAAAGGCTAAGGTTTGAACCAGGACAAAATTCAACTTAATCCAGAAGTGTTGTATTAGTATTATCCTGAGTTCAGCCACAGTGAAAGCACAGTGAAAGTACTGCCTACCAGGTACCCATTTCTAAACTTGGGTGGAGAGTGGCAAACAGTGATTAATGCCTTGCCAAAGTGCTGTGGCAGAGCTTCAAAACTTGTACCTTGTGATCCACAGTGAATCAACTCATTCACTAGACCACAACACTTCACATCGAATGCCATTCTTTTTCAAAGCCCGTCTGTACTAGTTTGGCCAGGGGAAATTAGACCTCCCCGCAAGCTCACTGACAGGTGTTTTTCTCATCGAATCAGCTTTCTTTTAATTTGATTCGATTTATTGAAATAAAAGAACATGCAACTCACTGGGAAGCTGAAATTATTCTATTTACAAAGTCAATATACAACACAATGAACGATCAAAATATGAATGACTAAAACGTACGACTATAAATCATGCATAATGAAACAAAATGAGAATCAAATATTACATCAATATCTAAATATATTACAAACATTACCGGTAAATCAAAATCTAAATATATTATGAATACAACATCAAAATCTAAATATATTACAAATATTACGTTAAAATTTAAATATATTACAAATATTAAAATATTAAAAACATTAAAAACCTTCTGTGTCATCAAAAAAGTAGAGAGAGAGAGAGAGAGAGAGAGAAAGAGAAAGAGAAAGACGGAACTAGAAAGAGGAATAGAAGGAAGAAGAAAAAAGAAAGAAAAGTTGATCAGGGAATATACGAAAGAAAAAAAAAAAAAAAGGTGTGACAATATAATATATCAACGTCATTTTAAAAAATTTGTTTAAGTAAAAAAAGTAAAGTTAATCCCGCAACACATCAAAGTTCAATGCAAATAATTTTGTAACTCAAAAGGATTGTATGTAGATTAAAAAAAAAAAAAAGAAGCTCTCAATTAACATAGAAAAAATGGGATCATGGGGAACAAACAGGCACCGATTAGGCATTGTTCGATATATAGAGGGCGCAAGTACTGTAGCTATAAGTAGTACAGTGGGGCTTTAAATATTGTCTCTTTGAATGGATAGTAGCATCCACGTAGCCCTTAATTACCTGTCATAGAGACTCTTTTTAGAAGAGTCGACACTGGGTGATGAAGATTGTTCATTGGCACCCCTCAGACCCGATTTATGATCATCAAAGGGTTTGTAAGAGGGTGCAGCACTGACAGGCTTGTCTTGATTTCGTTGTCTTTCTAGGTTGCGAGACCTCTTGAAACCCTTCTCTTTATTCTCAGGCTTGTTTGATTTGGAGTGCTGTGCATAAATGTGAGAGAAAAACACAAACAGACAATCATCATCATCATCATCATCATCATCATCATCATCATCGGCAAGTCCCAGGTCTGTTTAATACAGAGATTGGTGGCCATGGCCATCCATTTCTATCTATTATCTGCTATTCTTAAAAAGCGGGTATTGCTGATTTCATTTTGGGTTGCCCATTTGTTCAGGCTTGGCAAATATGTGAGACATTGCTTTCTCCTGCTTCTCTTTCCAGCAATTTTCCCCATGAATATTGTTTTCTCTAGATTATCCTTTCTGTATATATGTAACCAACAAATTGCATTTGCCTCTTTCTTATTGTGTTGTTGGTTTTACTCTTGCTTTTCTGTTCTGAAAACTTCTTCATTTGTTATCTTTTCTGCCCAGGCGATAATTGTTCCCTCCCCCTCCCTCCCTCCCTCTCTCTCTCTCAATGCAATATACCATATGTACCTGAGCTGCTAGCACCTTCTTGGCAAGTTCCCTTGCATCCTCTTGACTTGTTTCAGCAGCTAGAATGGAAAGCAAAGAAATACCATTTGGAAACATGACACTCTAATGACTCTATTCTCCTATAACAGCACCATGTACCCCCCTTCCCGGCTGCTATCGACTCAAACATTCACGATTATGATACCGTAGTTGGCCTCTGCATTTATTTTGATTTTTTTACTTACCTCCATACTTTCAAGTTTTCAATTATATATGCATTTTTATGTGTGTGTATTTCAGTTGTCATTCTTTATGTAAATCAATTATATTATATACTATTATTCTTAATTGAATGTTTTGTATTTGATTTATCAATAAATGCATAAACATCTTCTTTAAAAAAAAATATTTAAAAAAGAAGTTTACAAAAGCCTTTTGTATTTTACAAAGGAAAAGGATTTTGGAAAAAAGTTTCTATATGGAATCGGTCCAAAGTATAATGGACAAAAAAAAAAGGTAAACATGAAAGAAATATACATTCAAAATTCAAAAGTACTCCACAAATTAAACACAGATTATAGAATCAAAGCATAACTCTTTTAATTCATCTTCTAGCCAGCCTCAAATTTTGCCATAATTGCTACATGAGACACTTGAATAATGGATGAAATTTATCTCTGAATATATTCTGGTTTTCTTAAAATATGTACTCTCCCCTTTCTTTAATTTTTTTGTACATGTCACAGGCAACACATTTTTTTTTTCTTTTTTTTCCCCCTTTATTTAGAGTACGCTTCCTTTCAACTTGAACATTTTTCTTGTCAATAACATACATGGGCAAGATTTTTTTTTTTTTTTTTTTTTGGGGGGGGGGGGGGGGGGGAGACCACTAAAGATGAAAAAGATATCTAAGATTTACACTTTATTTCAAGATGTGAACATACAGTAAGCTAAGAAGAAATGATACTTACGTCTCTTTGTAGCCTTTGGTTGGGGAGTTGTTGGGGTTTGAGGATTTGTTTTGCTCTGTCTTAGTTGCTGAATCATCTTTTTCTGTGAGGAAAAATTACGATCAACAGAATCCACATAAATTGTTTAAACCCTGATCCAGCAAATCTCGACGGCCAACAAGTAAGAATGAACTAATGAAGATAGATCTTGATCTTAGTTATTTTATTCTTTATTTCATTTTGTTCTATACTTTAAATACAATTCTAGTTTTGTTATCAATTCATTACTGTATCTAACACCTTATCTAATTCTTTGTCCAGTGAAGTGCTCTAAACTCATTTCCTTGTTATTATCATTACAAAATTAGGCTACCTGCAGCTGTATGAGGCCAAATAACAAAAATAATGTGTCCTTTGTCCCCGCCATTTGCTTTTTGGCCGCCGCCTCCTTTTTTTCTTCTATTTAATATTCAGAAGAAAAAAACCCTGAAATACCCCCAAAAGCCAAACAAAATACCAAAAAAAGCTGTGGTAACAGCACCAAGTTTGAATATCTTCAAAAGATTACTTGTTAATTATTGGTCTAAATTCCAGTGTGTTGCACGTGATCCATCTCTCTAGTGTGCCCTCAAAGTTGTTTTCATCTGTTAATCACAACCATAAAGAAGAAGCGACCGGAAGACCAACAGGACTACCTTTTCTTCCGTATATTGTTGATGTTGATGATGATGATGATGATAATGATGATGATGATGATGATGATGATGATGATGATAATGATATTATTATATATAAGTCTAGTCATTGTCTAAACTCTTATAATAATAAAATAATGATAATGATGATGATGCGGAGGAGGAGGATGATGATGATGATGATGATGATGATGATGATGATGGTGACAATGATGAGGAATTGATGATGAGATGATGTGATGGATTGATGATGTGAATTGTGTTGATAATATAATATCATAAATGATAATTAATTATTAATATAGGCTTAGAGTAAAGGAGGGGGTTTTCGGCCACTTAAGACAAAATCCTATTTTATGGACCCTTTACTTCCTATTTATTATCATTTCTTGTTCAAATCATGAAGCAAATATTATTATTATTTAAACAAAAAAAGAATCCCAGAAAAAAATCACGAATTGCCAAGACAATATTCATTTCAATTTTCACTGTTTCGGAGTCAGTTATCGGCATAGCGAACCCGTTTTCGGCCGCATGTACAAAGTCAATAGGAAGCGAGCGCGCGCCGTGCGTTTCCGCGCTGATCTATAGTACTAGCGTGCGGAGCAGGTATTCCACGCCGGAGCTCCCGGAGCTCGCCAGGCCGAAAACTATTACTGCAGTGATCGGAAATTGGAATCTGAATTAGACAGAGATATCGTGTGTGCGTTGCAGTGTCCGGCTGCATTGATTTAATACATGCGGTGAGATACTTTTGAGCTTGCGACTAGCACAAAATCGGGCTCTTAATCTGAAAAATACTTGAAATAAAGCTCATTTTATGGTACCCATATTTCTTACAGACACGCATAAGATACTCGATACTCAGATTCGGGCAGCGGGACCGCTGATTACATCGCTAAAATGTGATATTTTAGGATATATTTTTCATTGCAAATGTGGTTCTTCAGTGACTCTGGCATGGTATGGTATGTGTGGGATATGTGATATGCTGTTATGCGATGTATTTTAAAGGTATTTTACCATGCATCCAACCAATTGGCCGAAAACTGAAGCTGGTCGATTACCCCCTTCTTTACTCTAGTCTAGACTAGTAATAATAAATGATAGGCCTAACCATAATAATTATCATCATCACCATCATCATTTAATAATATAAACAAAAACAGAAGATAAAATTTTACAGATCAATAAGGTTTTTCGACAAGTAAGTTAGACATATCATGGCATGCAGTAACACCAACTGTGCAATCGTATATTTTGGGTGTGGGATTTACAAACACAAAACCGAATATATGGGACAATATATTGAGCTTGCCTTCTTCCTTAGCTTCGCAAACTTTTTCTGGAGCATTTCCTCTTCTTCTGTGAGTTTGTTGGAGTAACCCATCGCAAAATATTTACAAAATACGGGGAAGAATGTATCAGGAGACAAGAATTTCAGGAAAATCTTCTAATTAATTAGAGATAATCTATCGCTTGAGCTGAGCTTTTTTCTTCTTTTCGCTCTCTTGCACTGCTGAAATAACCGACTAATTTCTTCCTATCATATCCGCGGACGACGTCGATTTATGAATAGGGACTCTTCGATTTGCGTGGACTGATAAGTGTGACGTCCATTCAAGGCAGTGCATTAAAAGGACGTCGATCGTAGCAAGCATTGTCTTCGTGCGAATCTAAAAGTCCCTAATGAGCGAAGAGCAGTGGCGGATCCAGGGGGGGGGGGCCGAAACGGCCGCGGCCCCCCCTATTGGCGGCGCAAAAAAAAAGGAAGAAAAAAAGAGGAAGAAAAGAAGAGGAAAAAAAAGGAGAAGAGGAGAAGAAAAAAAGGAGAAGAGAAAAGAAAGGAGAAGGGAAAAGAAATAGGAAGAGAAGAGAAAAGAGAAAAGAAAATATAAAGAAGAAAGCCCAACTCCCCCCCCCCCCCCCCCCCCCCCCCCTCCCTCCCACTCCGGGGTCGGAGGGACCGAATTTGTGTTCCCAAAATTTCCGATAAAGAGTTACTTTTCACGCCCGGCCCGTAATACACAAAAATACGGCCCGTACTGACTTACAGCGGAGATAGAGAAGTGCTTTCATAGAGAGGGAACATACTGGTGCGTACCCTATAGTAAGTGGGTGGGGGGGGGGGGGGATTCGGTGAGAAAGGGGGAAAGACAAGGAAATGGCGCTAAGTGACAGTAACGACGAATAAGGGAGAACTGTAATCGGGAGATTTGGGGTCATTCCAGAAGGTTTGGCAAACGTTCTTGAATAGAGGGGGCCGGGCCGGCCGCATAAAATCTCGAGCCGCGGATTCAAAGTTAAACGTAAAAAACAGCCCCCTGCGCTACAAAGGTCATCACTCTTTAGTGAGAAATTTGAAAAGGGCACAATATTTTGGATGTCTTTTAAATAGAAGCTACATGCTCAACAGTCAAATTTTAAATTAGCGGTTGGGCTGCTTCATTACTCTTATTTTGCCCTTCATTTGGATTCAGCTCATACCAACTCGCTCGTGTTTGTATTTGAACTCATGTTGGTAGTAATCATGGACAGGGGCGGCAATCCTGGGCCCGATAGGGAGACACGTCCCCCAGGAAATTTAGAAATATAGCTAGAAAGAAATATAGCGGAATTTTCTAGAATGCATAATTTCAACATTGCAAAATCTTGCTTGGTTGCTACGCCCCGGCCCTCGCCCGATAACACAAAACTATGATATGACGCTCCCGGCCGTGATTTATCCATGGTTAGTGTAATAGATCTTTTCTCCCTTTCATTTCTACTAATTATTGTGTGCTATCACAATCATGATTGTTTCATTTTCCCTTTAAAGCAGGCGCGTAGCCAGGGGCGGTAGGGACAGGAAGAGGGCATAGGACGAAAAAGGAGCAGACAAAGAAAAAAAAAATCTGACAAGTCGAGTACGGTACAACGAATCGTCTTCTTTCTCTAATAATTTAATGTAATGTCAAAGCTTCCGCGCTTCGCTCGGGAGGGGGGCAACTGAAAACAGACAAGGAATGGTAAAACGAATCGTCTTCTTTGTCTAATAATTTAATGAAACGTCAGAAGTTTACGCGCTACGCGCGGGCGGGGAAAAACTGAATTCAGCCAAGGATTTAGAGTCGAAAATGGAACAACGAATCATCTTATTTCTCTAATAATTCAATGAAACGTCAAAGCTTCCGCGCTTCGCGCGAAAACTGAATTCAAACAAGGATTAAGAGACGAGAATGGTACAACGATTAGTCTTCTTCCTCTAATAATGTAATGAACCGTCAGAGCTTACGCGCTACGCGCGGGCGGGGAAAAACTGAATTCAGACAAGGATTAAGAGTCGAGAATGGTACAAAGACTCGTCTCCTTTCCCCTTATGATTTAATGAAACGACAAAGCTTCCGCGCTTCGCGCGAGAGGGGGGAGGGGGAACTCAATTCAGACAAGGATTAAGAGTTACGAATCGTCTTCTTTCTCTAATAATTTAATGAAACGTCATAGCTTCCGCGCTTCGCGCGGGAGAGGGGGGGGGGGGGGCACTCAATTCAGACAAGGATAAAGAGTCGAGGACGGTACAAAGAATCGTCTTCTTTCTCTAATAATTTAATGAAACGTCAAAGCTTCCGCGGTTCGCGCGGAAGGGGGGGGGGGAACTCAATTTAGAGAAGGATTAAGAGTCGAAAATGGAACAACGAATCATCTTTCTCTAATAATTTCATTAAACTATGAAAGGCCAAAGTTTCCGTGCTTCGCGCGGGAGGCGGGGGGGGGGGGCTGAATTCAGTCAAGTAATAAGAGTCGAGAATGGTACAACAAATCTTCTTCTTTCTCTAATAATTAATGAAACGTCAAAGCTTCCGCGCTTCGCGCGGGAGGGGGAAAACTGAATTCAAACAAGAATTAAGAGACGAGAATGGTACAACGATTCGTCTTCTTCCTCTAATAATTTAATAAACCGTCAAAGCTTACGCGCTACGCGCGGGCGGGGGAAAACTGAATTCAGACAAGGATAAAAAGTCGAGAATAGTACAAAGAATCGTCTCCTTTCCCTTATAATTCAATGAAACGCCAAAGCTTCCGCGCTTCGCGCGGGAGGGGGGGGGGGGGACTTAATTCAGAGAAGGATTAAGGGTCGAAAATGGAACAACGAATCATCGTTCTCTAATAATTTCATTAAACTATGAAAAGCCTAAGTTTCCGTGCTTCGCGCGGGAAGGGGGGGGCTGAATTCAGTCAAGTAATAAGAGTCGAGAATGGTACAACAAATCTTCTTCTTTCTCTAATAATTAATGAAAGGCCAAAGCTTCCGCGCTTCGCGCGGGCGGGAGGAAACTGAATTTAGACAAGGATTAAGAGTCGAGAATGGTACAACAAATCGTCTTCCTTCTCTAGTAACAATTAATGAAGGGTCAAAGCTTCCGCGCTTCGCGCGTAATGGAGGGAGGGGGGGGGGACAGCGAGCTGCCCGAATATGAGTTTTTGATATCTTTTCTCGTTTATTTTGGTGATAAATAACACTTTCACAAATTATTGTTGCTCGCTCGCTTCGCTCACTATTTCGAATCGTGAAAGCAGAAAATTACTTTCCGGGCAAGAGGCTATAGCCCCCCCCCCCCCCGATGAAAATGTCAAAAATTCTACCGGTATCGTGCTTCTAATATGACCTTGTCAGTATTGGTATGTTGAGTTGAAAAAATGGTCTGCGCAATTTTCAAATTTCCGGCCCCCCCCCCCCCTATTGGAAAATCCTGGATCCGCGCCTGAGAGAGTGTCATCAATCCCGATATAATTAAAGCATAACCAATGTCATAACGCAGACAAGACAACAACAGAACTACGTACAAAACGCCGCAAATTTCTAGCTGAGGAATGGAGGGGAAGGTCGAATATTCTAAGGATGCCAATGCCGTATCAGGACAGTAACCACAGTAACCACAGTAACCCTCTGGACATTCACCCCCGGAAACTACCCCCCCCCCCCCCAAGGACAATAACCCCTCTGAAAATTACCCCCAAGGACAACGTACCCCCGAGTGAGCACTTTTGTTGGCCCTCGAAAATTTGAAAAAAGGGTAAAATTAATGCGTTTTTCCCCAGGGGAGGGGGCCCCCTGGATCCGCCACTGAATTGTCCTGGGGGGAGGGGGGTGTTGTCCTTTGGGGTAGTTTTCCGTTGTGTAATAGTCCTAGAACCGTCAAAAGCCCCTGCAGCAGCTGAATGCGTGGCTACTTTCAATATTATTGTTTAAATAATCATATTTGATTTTAGATTTTAGTTCTAAAGCTGTGTTTATAAACATCCCTCCCACTTTGATTTAAACAAAAAAATGGGCTCGACCCCCTCTCACCCGTGAGAAAAAAGTATCCGATTCCTCTTCAGCTGATTCGATTCTAAATTGGAGGGGTATTATGTAGGCCCGCCCTGTTCTCCAAAAGCTGCTGTATAGGGTATATCCGGGATATACACCCATTCTGCTCTGAGATTTTCTTGAGATTTTAATTTCGCCCCAGGCTAGTTGGCACCAGCCAAGTTGGGGGCATTTCGACCGATCCAAATCTCATCTCTCTATACCCCCTCACCCTTACTCCCCTCCCGTCTCTTCATTCTCTCTCTCTCTCTCTCTCCCTCTCTCTCTTTCTCCCGCTCTCTCTCTCCCCCCTCTCTCTCTCTCTCTCCTTTTCTCTCTTTATCCTGCTCTCCCGGCCCCTCTCACCCCTTTCACCTCCATTTCCTGCATGTGTGCCTATACCTTTCTTTATTTTGGAAGTAATGTCTCTCATTTTGTTTTCTTCTTCAAAAGAACGTCCATTCATGCCTTTCCTTGAGGCAGTCTCGGTCTGCGTTTTTATTTCAATATCTGTCATAATTATGAATAGCTCTGTAACTGTATCAGTGGAGGATCTATAGGAGGATCTGTAATGGGTTGGAAGGCGGGTTATTTTGTTTTCTGCGCCATGGTTATAATGTTGCTCATCAATAGTTCCCCTTTCCTCTCTCCATTCGTACCTTCTTTCTTTCTTTTTTCTATATATCTATCTTTCTACCTATCCATCCATCTATCTATCTACTTCTCTCTGTTTCTTTGTTTATTTATATATATAATTATATACATATTTGTTGTTGTTTTGTGGCCATTAGAGGGGGAGGCACTATTATATGCCACCACATTATATAGCTCATGGATTTACAAAAAAGTATGCCTCAAATAGGATGAACCATCATAAATATTGGTCCTTTGTGAAAATTGTCTTGCATTATTTGTTGTCCAATATAATCTTTAAAGATTTCTGAAATACTGCATGTAAACCTCTTCAAATTACTGTTTTAAATCAACTGTCCAAACGCACAACCTGTACCTGACACAACGGCCCGAATTCACAAAGCAAGGTTTGAGCTCAGACCAAGGTTTGACCTCAAACATTTTGACCTCAAACAAACCTTGACCTCAAACAAACCTGGTTTGTAAATAACAAAGGGAGGTTTGGCGAAACAAAAGGAGGTTTGAGGTCAAACCTTGGTCTGAGCTCAAACCTTGCTTTGTGAATTCGGGCCAATGTCTTGGTCGTGAAACATGTAAATGAATGCCAACTGTGGGCAACAAACTGGATCTGCCCTTCTTCACTGCAGGCGCGTAGCCACGGGGGAGGGGGGGGGGGGGGGGCACGTGCCCACCTAAAATTTCCAAGATCGGTTGATTTTGTTTAAGACCCCTTTTTTTTTACCTCGATCGATTACATATAGTGCCCCCCCCCCCCAAAACATCGAACTCTGGCTACGTCGCGGCCTGCTTCACTGAGCTCTGTGTTACAAACTACAAAAATGTGAAGTGTATTGAAGTTTACGTCATCATAAACAGAGAAAATTCTTATTCTACTTTTCTATTCTAGTAGACGATTGTACCTGCGTGGGAGTCAGAAATGTTGTATCAGACACATACCGAACAAAGGCCACTCGAACTCGAACGTCTGGACTTTGGTTCGACAGACCTTTTTTCAATCACCTATACATTTTTTCTCAAGTTCACCGGGATTGTGACCTACATTTACTACACTTACTGTCCTTTAAAACAACGTAGGGTAAAGTTACTGATTAACATTATGTCGCTGGATCAAATGATAATAGTAATACAATAATAATGGTAAATTTCATGAATAAATGTCGAATATGATAGTATGCTTTGAAACGGGTACTAACATTACGATCAAATGAACATCTCTTGCCTGAAAATTGTTTTATTGTTTGCCAGCGAGCGATCATAATTCAAATGCCTAATGTATATCTTTTGTTACATCAAATCATGCACATGTAGGGCAAGTACGCATTATTATACAAGTTATGATGTCTTAGTGAGCACATTTTTTTTGTTTTGGTCCTCGAAAATTTTAAAATTTGCACCCCCCCCCCCCACTTTGAGCGCCAGGGGGGGGGGGGGGCAATCCCCCCAAAAGGTAATCACGTGTTTTTACATGAACTTCTGACATCTTGGCCCGAATTCACAAAGCAAGGAATTTGAGCTCAGACCAAGGTTTGAGCTCAAACCTCCTATTGTTTCGCCAAACCTCCTTTGTTAAAAGGAGGTTTGGCGAAACAAAAGGAGGTTTGAGCTCAAACCTTGCTTTGTGAATTCGGGCCTTTAAGTTTAGGTACCATTTTGGCGTCTCAATTTAATTGCAGCTTTGATCATACCTACCCATGCATGATTGAACCCTGTATATGCATGGCAGTAGCAAAACCGATTTGGATCGGGTGCTGATATAATAAGGCTCACAAAACCACGTGACTAAAGACCAATAAGTAGGGCGGCCGACGTGGTTGTTCTTTGGGTTCAGTTGTGTGCGTCAATATTTGACGGACAATCGAGGAAGCCTCTGGATCCAGTCAGACGTTATCTTAGCGGATCGGAACGACCGACAACTAAATATGAGCAACTGACCATTTCCGTGTACGGATCTATGATCTAGATGAGACCATTACAAAACGTATTTAAAGCTAGTTAAGTTCAGTCATACACCGAGAGACTATAAATCTGCGGAGAAATTGTTCTTATTCTATTCGAGAAGACGGATTTAATTAGAATCTTGCCTAGTTTTTGTTCTACTATAGTCTACCCGGACAGCTTTCGCCATGGCATCGGAACGGGACATTTCTAAGCGCGTTGAGAGTTGTTCTGCTTTCGAATTTCAGTTGAAAGACACGATGATAGCGATTTGGAGCAATGAATACGATGAAGATCACAACAAAGAGGTAAGCTGGTCAATAGTATAATATAATTGTATGTATGAGAGCATTAGCACTACAGCATGATCTTAAGAGCCTGTTGTATATACCTCCTAATCCTCACTATACCACAGTTACAGCATTGTACCAATTATTGACAAACGATGACTATTAAATAATAGTGGGTGGAGGTAAAAGAATCAAGATGTTACATCGAAAGTTAGAATATATAGACTCAAGGTGGTTACCCTATAATGCCGATATACGTCTTAGTATCGAAGAGACTCATAGTACGTTCCGGATTCATTCCTTTAACATACCTGGCCATATACGCACTAGCATTGACTCTCTATGCTTTGCTGGAGTGGCCATATCTAGTGTATTAATGTAATTGCAGATTTACAGGGTTAGCTTTGCATTTATGTTCATTCTTTATGGGATGCCGTCTGCTTGGGCAGTATTGGTGCATTATGTGACATCATTAAAACATCGTTATTTTTCTGGCGAATCTCTCGTATATCCCAGATGCTAAGGACCCAGGTCGGAATTCCAGTTGAAACCAGTAGGCAACTGGTACCAGTTAAAACCAGTAAGTCAACTGGTACCAGTTGAAACCAGCTAGTAGATTCAACTGGTTTTTAATATGGAAATTGAAACAACGCTAACTGAGACCAGTTGAATTACCAGTTGATTTACCAGTTCAATTACCAGTTGATTTACCAGTTGATTTACCAGTTGAATTTCCAGTTGAATTACCAGTTGATTTACCAGTTCAATTACCAGTTGATTTACCAGTTGATTACCAGTTGAATTTCCAGTTGAATTACCAGTTGATTTTTCAGATGATTATCCAGTAATCAATTAACTGATAATCAATAATCATTATTAGCATCTGGCCACCAACTTGACCACATATACTAACTCTTGCAATTACCCCATCACAATGATCATTTAAAGTAGATTACAGACGTGTATTGTGTGATTTGACATATATTGTTCGTGCATACATATATACAAATTTATACACTTTATTTCTGGTTAGTAATTACATATATATCAATATATCTCATTTTACGTCTTAAATCAGATGAAAAACATGATCAGACATGTGTAATATATTTGTCAATAATTAACTAAGAAAATGTAAATCACAAAATGTATGTGCATTGTCACATTTGCTTGAAAGATCATGATAATTATATTTTCTGTGAAAACATGCAAATCATGAATATTCATAAGATACATTGAACTGGTTTTTCAACTGGTAAATCAACTGGTATTCGTACTGGTTTTCAGCTGGTAAATCAACTGGTATTCGTACTGGTTTTCAACTGGTAAATCAACTGGTAATCTTACTGGTTTTCAACTGGTAAATCAACTGGTAATCATCTACTGGTTTTCAACTGGTACTCATCTACTGGTTTTCAACTGGTAATCATCTACTGGTTTTCAACTGGAATCAACTGGTAATCATCTACTGGTTTTCAACTGGTAAATCAACTGGTGATCATCTACTGGTTTTCAACTGGTAAATCAACTGGTAACCATACTGGTTTTCAAATGGTAAATCAACTGGTAATCATCTACTGGTTTCAACTGGTAAATCAACTGGTAATATCAACTGGTCTCAGATGTCAACTGGTATTTCTACTGGTTTCCAAAATGTATCAACTGGTATCAACTGGTACCAGTTAAGACCAGTTGAGACCAGTTGAGACCAGTTCAAACCAGTAGATACCAGTTGAAAATCCTTACTGGTTTCAACTGGTATCAACTGGAATTTCGACCTGGGGAGGTGGTTGAATTGTATTTTTATGAATCACCCGACCAGTTTCTGATGATACATTAGTTGACATATCTGTGATTTTCTTTGAATTTACACTTTAATACAAAGGTTATGCTTTCCTTTTTCTCTTCAAGGGTATAATAAATCTTTCGACTGCACACAACGAGGCAATCCAAGATCTCATCACTGAAAAGGTAAAGTTACTGTCACTCTTACAGTCATGATGCTTTTTCATCATCATGTATCTTGTCGAAATGGCGTTAAGTAATATTATTTCTGCATTTTTCATAGAGACATTATCATATTTTCATATGGAAACGTTTGCTTAATTGCCGGTTATGTCTCATAAAAAAAGCTGACCGCAAGTCCGCTAACTCCCACCGTGTTGAGTGCATTGGGTCAAGGGCCACTGACTTCATCGGGCAGGAAGTTCTATATGTGAATAGGTAAATTCCGGCAACAACATGCGAACGATCAGAAGAAAGCTAACGATTCATTTCATTCATTAGCGGCCCACCCCAAAGCCGCCTGACCACAATGAAAAGAGTGAGGATCGACTTGCGAGAGCGACCGAAGTGCAATCGAAAATCGCTATTTTGCTCTTCAATTCTCCAACGCAAAAAGAGACGATATTGTGCGGGATTACTAAGTTTTTCCGACAAAAGTACAGAGAAATTGCATATCATTTTTTATATTATACTTTTTGAAAGGTTATACCCAAGTGAAGAGTGGCGTACGCAAGATTTTTTTTCAAGGGGGGGGGGGGGGGGGGGGGGGGGGGGGGGGGGGGGGAGGAACATAATTTTTTTTTTGGCCCCAAATTTTTCGCAACGACTCAGGGGGGGGGGTAGGTCTCTTTTTGGGGGTCACCATTTGGTACCCTAAACCCCCGCTGCGTACGCGCCTGCAAGTGACTCCTGCACTTTTTTGTTGTTACTTTTTCATGCTAAAATGCTTATTAGTATTATGCACGCAAGTCAGATTGAGCGGATGATAAGATCACTTCTTTTTGTGGCCCCAAATTTTCGCAACGACTCAGGGGGGGGGGGGGGGGTATGGTCACTTTTGGGGGTCACCATTTAAGTTTTTTTGTTTTGTTGTTGTTTTCATCAAAAATCACACACATAAACAAAATTGAGGGGGAGGGGGTTCAATCCCCCCCCCCCCCCCCCCCCCCAAAAAAAAAAAACCCGCTGCGTACGCGCCTGCAAGTGACTCCCGGTCTCCCCAAGGTAATGAATGGTCGAAAGTCGAGAGAAGGTTGCGTTTCGGTCAGACAACAATAGAGGGCACATAGAGAGAGAGAGAGAGACAGACAGACTGACTGACTGACAGAAGGAGAGAGCTGATGTAAAGAAGAAGGCGAAGATCAAAATTATGAATTGAATGTTAGTCTGCACTTTGTACTATCGCATTTCGTGTTATTTATGTTCAACTCCATTGTATTATTCTGTATCCATTTGTATCTTATTGATGTTTATAATCTGTAATTTACTAATTTTGTATTGACATGCAAACGAAACAAATTTACAATAAATGGACAATAACATTTGAATTGAATCGAATTGAATTGAATTTCATAGTAGGTCCATGGTTGTACAAACCTGATTGAACCATCTGGAAGATTAAAAGCTGTTCAGATCCAGCGCTAAAGCTAAAAACGACAACACAAGAAAGAAGGGGACAATCTTGAAAAGCAAAAAAAGAAAGAAAAATAAATCGACAAACTAAATCCAGCTACTACAAGCATAATAAGTTACATAGCAAAAACTATATGCTCAGTCCGGCCCTCCCTGTATCTTAAAGGTAAAGACCAGTTTTGGAGACTCCCCCTCTCAAAAAATGAAATGGAAGCTCTTATTACCAATCATGTGAAAGACTATGTTTTGATTAATACGTGATGATACAAATTTTGCCGGGAAACCACATACCGTCTGATTCTAATTGATATATTTGGTAAATTATCATATCAATCGCAACTTATTTGTGATTGATATCAATCACAACTACACTGTCGCTCATAAAGGTGGAATATTTTAGTTTTAACTCAATTTATGGAACTATTTTAAAAATTATTTAAAAATAATAGATCTAGATAATAGTATACATTCTCAGATTTTATTGAATAATAAATTGCCAATGTGTGTTTTGCGGGACTGCTAAAGCATGTGTATGCTACTATGCTTATTAACTAGGGAACCTACGCCTCAAGTCATAAATGACATTATTGAGGATTAATGCCCCACAAAAGGGCACTAATATAACACATCGACATGGTTTTGATCATGGGGCCTCACAGTTACGAGGCCATTGCTTTGTCACTGAACCATGACTGTACGCAGCAGGGGCTAGGGTAGGGGGCAGTTTCCATAAATAAATAAAAAACACAGAAAATGCAATAAATTTTCAATAATTTATTGCATTTTACCCCAGTCCCCAACATAAAAAAATCCTCTGGACGGCCATGCATTATGGCTCAAGGCATGGGCACACAGAAGATTTTTTATGTTGGGACCCGGGGTAAAATGCAATAAATTATTGAACATTTATTGCATTTAAAAAAAAAAAAAATTATTTATGGAAACTGCCCCCTACCCTAGCCCCCGCTGCGTACAGTCATGGTTCAGTGACAAAGCAATGGCCTCGTAACTGTGAGGCCCCATGATCAAAACCATGTCGATGTGTTATATTAGTGCCCTTTTGTGGGGCATTAATCCTCATTACTGTCATTTATGACTTAAGGGCATAGGTCCCCTATTTGATAAGCTTATTAGCATACACATGCTTTAGCAGTCACGCAAAACACACATTGGCAAATTATTATGCAATAAAATCCGAGAATGTATACTATTATCTAGATCTATTATTTTTAAATTATTTTTCAAATAATTCCATAAATTGGGATAAAAAAAATATATTCCACCTTTATGAGCGACAGTGTTTGTACATAAGAGATGGGAGACTGCAAACTTGTGATTGATTTAGGGACTTGATATTGATTCGGATCAATATCAACTCTTTGTAAGACGGGGCCCTGGCCTGGATAGATATCGCGAATGCACTTCAACATTGAACATTTGGACATATATTTCTGCTTTTTGCGAATTTAGGTTGAAGTATTGCCATCTCAAACTCTGAAGGCATTATGTAAACTATATTGAATGGAAATTGCACTCAAAACCCTTGAACCGCAATTTTACCACTACCGGTCTATATCTTTAACCTCGTTTCGCTACTTCCATTCAAAATCATTTATTTTTTTTGACAAATATTAGTTGAACCAGCCAGACTTCATGACGTGGGACTCAACGATGCTACCATACAATGGGCATCGCAATGGTAGTCTCCGCCTCCGGAAAGCCTTGTCCGAGTTCTTATCTTGCTGCAGTGGTCAGAAAGCTCCAGAAACTCTCGATCCGGAAAAGGTATATTTTCTGACCGCATTGCCAATTTGTCTCCCAGATTCCATTAAAAAAAGAGAAGATTTTGACAGATTTATATATAATTTCCTTATTTGTTCTACGATTTTTCTCACACATTCACAGAACTATTGTTTGATTTTTCTGCTTCTATTATCAGGGTGGAATTCCCCTTTAAACGACGATGTTTTATTTTTTTTTATTCGTTCAACGTCTCGATATAATGCTATTTGAATATTTTGATGACAATAAACGACACAGGGTACTATTTTTGTGTAACGTAAAATGGCAATCACATGTCAAATAAATGATTATCAGTTGCGGGGTTTAATAATTTAAAGAAAAGAAAATGTCAAAGAAATCATTCCTCTTCTTCCCCTACTTCTTCCCTTTCTTCATCTTCTCCTTCCTACACCTAGTCAAGGGCGTATCTAGGGAGGAGGGGGGGGGGGGGGTGGGGGTGTTTTGGGTGTTTTAGGTGTTCAGACCCCCCCCCCCTTGGCAAAAGGGGGATGTTTCAGAACCCCCCCCCCCCCCCGTCGCGTATTCACCGGCTTGCTGATTCGCGGCTAAATGTTTTCTCACGAATCGGGCAAAAAAATACCTCCCCCTAAAAATCCTGGCTACGCCTTTGATCCTAGTCCTATTTGTCAATAGCAGCGCAGTATCATAATTGGTATCATTGTTGTCATTATTGTAAGTATCATCAATGTATTGAGATAAATCGTGTGTTTTCTCGCGTTATGGATTCAAAGACCAGTTTAGAGGTTTGTATTGCTCCAGTCTTGTGTGTTTATTACTACCCCTGACAACTACCCTCTAGGACAACCACCCTCTAGGGAAACTACCCCCTAGACAAGTTCCCCAGCAAACTACTCCCAGGGCAACCACAACTACACCCGGATAACTACCCCCAGACAACTACCCCTGGACAAGTTCCCCACACAACTACCTTCTTGGGCAACCGCCCTCTAGGACTGTGGACATATACCTCCTTGACATCTAACACCCATACTATGGTAATTGCCACCCAACTACCCCCGGACAATAACCACTTAGGGTAATTATCAATCGGACAACAACCAACATACATACTGGTCCGGGGATAGTTATACTAGAGGGTGCTTCCCTAGGGAGTAGTTGTCTGGGGTATTTATCCGGGGGGGGGGGGGTGGTGTCCTAGAGGGTGGTTGTCCTAGTGGGTAGTTGTCTGGTGGTATTTGTCCGGGGGAAGTTGTCCTGGAGGGTGGTGTCCTCGGGGGTAGCTGTGTGGGGACTAATTACCCTAGAGGGTAATTGTCCCGGGGGGTAGTCGTCCTAGAGGTCGGTTGCCCTAGGGGGTAGCTATATAGAGAGTGGTTACCCTAGGGGTGGTTTACCCGGAGGGTGGTTGTTCAGGGGGTAGGAGTCCTAGAACCATTTTGACTTTGTCTACTACTCGCATTACTGTTCATGCAGCCACACTTTTCCACACGTCATCTTTAATAAATGTGGATGACATTCGCGTATGAGGAAAGTAATTGAGCTAAAATGGAAAGCCTGTATTTCAGTATATACCCACTTAACATGAGGATCAGCCAACGTCTCTAATCTAAAGTCAACATCTCCCTCAAATATGCAGTGGATTGTACAGTTTGGTCTTTCTTATTCTCATTCGTATAGTTCATAGTTCTGAATGGAGTGACGTCTGCACTGAGTGCGATGGCTTACGTTTTATGTGATAATGGAGGTATATATATTTACTTTATGCTTCTCACTCATATCATTTGTTCTCCAATATCTGAAATACAGCACTAATTACAATTACGGGATTCCAATACAAATCTGATAGCACAACAACCGCTCCTGTCACTTGTACAGAATGACCGTTTCCAAATAAAATGTCGAATTCATATAAGGGCAGATTGAGGACTGTCGGGGGAAAATGGGGGTATTGCAATTAAAATGTTATTAATCCGGGCACATTTTCACGACATGTACCCCCCCCCCCGGAATACGTTCTTAAACGTCCCGGCCATATCACCGCCCCCCCCCCTGAAACACAGAATAGGGGGGGGGGACCCTATACGTATGAACTGCTTTGAGTCCCCTTCTCAATTTAAGGTCCTTGTAAGAAAAGGCAAAAAAGCAGATATGATGACCACATTTTTATGCCACATGTTTGTGTGGTCCCATATACATCTTTCTTTGTACAGAGCTTGTTACTTTTCCCAACTGAAAACAGGCCAAATTTCTTATCATTTTGATGATTCCACATCCTTGCAGTACACATCAATACTTAACTGCTAGTACAATATCCATTTTTTTCCTGATTGGTTCCACACTGTTTCTTTCACAATACAATCGCATGACTTTATCTTTAACTTTATCTTTAACTTGAAGATCTCATACATATCCTTTGTAGTCATTACGATTGTAACGTTTCCATGTTCACACTTGCCTTCACAAACTACGTTACTGCAGACACCATTTTGACTCCTGCTCCCATGTATGGAGCTATACCACGTGACCTTCTGTTCCAGTATGGAGCGAAGACATATCCAGTGCATCTTAGCAGCAAGGTAAGTCTGCATTTTTTTCAAGTTTCACTAAGGTGGAAAAAAGAGAAAATATATCATATTTTGCTATTTTGCCAACCAAAGAAAACTTCTCAAATGAATCCAGATTACTGACAGAAAGTTAAATATCATCGCACCCCAGTCCCGGCCTTAGCGGGCTCCTGGTTACCCTTTCTTATCTGAGATCGAGAAACTTGTGTTTTTCACTTTTAACCAACTCTTCTAGACTTTTAAATAAGTTAAGGACCCATTGAGATAAATTTTAAAGGGATTTGTTTTCTCTTTCATATTGAAGGCAGGACCAGATGGAAGAGAACCGTTTGAACTGACAGTTCCTCTTCTTGAGTCAGCGTTGGAAAAAGCAAAGGAGGAGGTATGTACAGTGGCTACAGTCCACGCGACGGACATCCCGTGAGAACGACAATCGGCTCTAATGCTAATTTATAATGGTTGTTCTGGGGGGCGTTTCATGAAACAATCAGTCGGTGGTTTCATCGACTAATATCATTTTCACCGACAATTTTATTGTCACCGACTTTTTTCCAGGCCTATGATTGGTCAAATTTAGTCAGCGCTGACAGTTATCGGCGGAAAAATGTTGATGAAACGCCCCCCCCCCCGGACCCTGTTTCATAAAACTTGACATCAATAACACGTTACAGGCTACTGTTATAAACTACTGAAATCATGGCATCCGATTGGCTGAGACCACATTTGTCATAGAAATTTAGCCGTTGTTAAAATAGATAATAAGTTTTTATGAAACGGGCCGCTGTTATGTTTGTAGCATATTTAGATACCCTAAATATATTTGTATCATGATACTGGTGTAGACTTGTCGTGGTCTAGTGGATACGTTGCATATGACGGTGGTTCATATGGTTCACGGTTCGAGTCCTGCCGCGGTACTAATGTCATTTGCAGGCGCGTAGCCAGGATCGGTTGCATTTTTTTAGACCCGTTTTTTTTACCTCGATCGATTACATGTATGTGCCCCCGCCCCAAATATCAAACTCTGGCTACGTGCCTGGTCATTTGGCAGTTCATTAATCTACATTTTCCATACTTGATCCATTATTATTATCATTATTATTATATTATTTTATCATCATTGTTCTTGTTCTTGTTCTTCGTCGTTTTCTTCTTATTATTATAATTATCATTATTAGTATTATCATTACTATTATTACTATTTACTATATAATTATTATTATCATCATTATCATTAATATCAATATTATCGTTACTATGATCATTATCATTATCATTATCATTATCACTATTATTATTATTTTTTATCATTATTATTAGGGACATAACGTCAGAGCTCTTCTGCTGGTCAATCCTGTCAATCCGTATGGAACCGTGTACACCAAACAACAAGTTTTGGAATACCTCACATTTTGCAAAAGGTGTGTTTTCGACTGAGATACGATATATAGATGCAATGAAGAATAATAATAGAATAGTCGACCGCAGGCAGATGTGCTAGTTCCCGAGAGCCTATAAAAAGCCAAACCTCGAATATTAAAGCAGTCGAATTGAAACAAAAATCTACCAAGAATTCTTACCTGATCCTTTTATTGAGTAAAGATTGGTTTAAACATCACGTAAAATCTAACGTCTGTTAATCTTCGCTGGAAAATGACTGAAAGTTTCAATGGAGATCGCAACAAAATTTAAATATTTTTCTGGTACCCGGAATCTTGCAGGAAAATCACCCATGAACTATTGACTATGTGTTCATCTCTTTGCGGGAATATCCCAATTCACGACTGCAATTTCGACCAGTCAGATGGCTAGATTTCTAAAGAGAGGTGTATAAAATAGGATAGGATATGTTAGGCCGGATAGGATAGAATATAATAGAATATGATAAAATAGAATAGGATAGAAGAGATTACCTTGCGGTATAACAAGAGATGTTAAATGCCTTATATTCTTACTAAATTAAATCAGAGAATGTGTTTCTGAATATTCAGACTGTACCCCCAAAAGGAATATTGTAATTGCCGTTTTATATACGTTATTTAATTACTATCAGGTTTACCTAAATATGGTTTGCCAAAAATTGCTTAGTACATATAGTACGTTTAGTGTCAAAACAGTTGATTTGATATCAAGTCTTCTGTATTTGATTTGACACGATGCCCATTTCCATATACTTATTGAATTGAAATCATTTCTATGTATCTTTCGCGTATTTTGTACTTATTTGTTATTACACTGTCTTCATTCTTAAACATAAATATACTAAAATGAAGTTTAAACTTCCGCCAACCTTAGAATTGAGTAGGTTGGTAGAAGCTTGAAATACATGGAATCAATACTTCAAACAATGAAAGTTTTTTTCATCATTCATGGTATATGTGAATATATGATACAGAGTGCAAAATACAACAATATTTTTTTCAATGTAACAAAGTAACTTAATCTATTGTTGTAATATATTTTTTCATTTACAGGCATGATCTACATTGTGTGCTTGATGAGATCTATGCTGCTAGTATCTATGACGAGTCTGTAGAGAGTTCCAGTGTATTCACCTTGCATTCAGATGAGCTACCGGACAAGACAAAGACACATGTCATATGGGGAATGGCAAAGGTTAACAATTTACGATCCATATTCATGGTTTGATAGTTTGTTAAAATTCGACTGCTAAGAAAGCATGTGCATGCCTGTCAGTAAGCAGCAGGGGACCAACGACTTTAAGTCCTCTCCGAGGGACTTGGTGATGGTGATTAGGCCCCAATAAAAGGCCATGGCCCAAGCCCATTCCCCCTTCTGTAATGCCCGGATCCGCCCTTGTGTTGGCCCTACATACCTATGTTTTCCCTAAATAATGTATCACATATTTCCTACCTCTTATTTTTACAGTGAAACAACAAACAATAATTTTATTCTTCACCAAATCCTGATTATCTATTCATTCATTTATCTGTTTGTTTGTTTTTACAGGATTTTGGAATGCCAGGTTCTCCATTCGGAGCCGTATATTCATGGAATCCTCGGGTCTTAGCTGGCCTAGGACAATTAGTCGATTTCTACCAGATTCCAAGTTTCATTCAAATAGCTTTGGCAAAATTACTTGAGGACAAAGGTAAAGAAGTGTCATTTTCGTATTTACATCTTTTTATACCCGTATAATACAACTAAGAGACCTCCGATGAGATTCATCTGTTTGGTAATGTATCAATTAGCAAGAGCGCCAGCTATGTTGAAAGTCTGAAGAAGCTTGAAGATCTGCAAGTGAAATTTAAAAATATACGATAATAATCATTGTGTAGAAGAACTAACTTAATACTCTCAAAGAGTCTTTATGTAACTAGTCGAAAATCCTTTAAGGAATACTGTCTTATAATAAATCAATCGCCTTATTAGATAAAGTAGAAAAGCAGAGTTGACCTTTCTTGATGAATTGGAGAGTTTTTTTAACCTTTTATTTCACATGAAAAACGATAGATAAACAAAACAAAGCATATGAACAAAATTGATATTCATGGACTACAAATACATATACACAGTATAAGTTTGCATTTACACTAGATATTCTCGAAATTACATGTGAAAAAAGGAACTTGATCAAAAAGGCATAGCTTGTAGAGTTTAAGTTCTTCAAAATAATTTAGGTTAGGGTTAGGGTAATATACAATTTTTTGTGATTTCCTGTTGATGTACCATTTGGGGTTACATATGAATGTCTTGTTGATAAAACGAATAAGGTTATACATGTTTATATAAATATATTTATATATTTTTTGTAATACTTAGAATGGTTGAAATCGTACCTTCCAACTCACAATAAGATGTTGATGGAATCGGCAACTATCGTAATGGAAACTCTGAAAGAGCTTGATGTGCCATTTGTGAAACCCAGTGCAGGGTTATTCATTTGGGCCGACTTCAGAAAGGTGGGTATATTAGTCTATGCTATATAGTATTTATGGCATTTTTTTTTAATTCACAAAGTACAAACAGTTGTATTAAACATGTATCTAAAATGGCTATGAAGGTAATTTTAGACCCCAAAATGTGTGAAATTTAGCCAATACGATCATACCAATTCAGATCCACTTTCCACAAAATATGGTGAGCGTATATTAATTAATTAATTAATTAATTGATATTAACAATACAGAGGCCGGGTAGTCGTGCGTATTATAACTAACACGAAAAAGCCAACAAAAAGCCAACATTGGCATTGGCTGGAATAAAACATATAAGACACTATCTCGTTTTTCAACGGGTAGTTCAAATGATCGAATATTTTATGGATATTTCAGCCGTCTCTGAACCGATCAAACAAAGATGATTTTGTCGAAATGTAATATGTTCGTGCGGTCTGTTGTCGGTCTTGCCCGTGTGAAGAAGGTATGAATCTTTATTGAAATAAAGCCCGGATGAAATGTCGGGACAACTCTTTAGTTCTACAACTCAATGACAGGCAATATCCTTCCTCTTTCATGCACGCAGATCATCACGAATGTAAGCAAACAAACCGAGAAGCAGTTTGCTTTCCACTGTCTTGACCACGGTCTCGGTCTCGCACCAGGGGCGGCCTTCTATTACAACGAATTCGGCTGGATTAGACTCGTCCATGCCCTACCGAAATGCAAACTCATCGAAGGTAACAATGAAATACTATTTACATTTTTTTTATGAGAGTGTAATTATACCTTGATATCATTTTTATGCGTATGAGGCGAGGATTAGGACCGGGGGGGGGGGGGGCTTTTCATATTTGGTTTGGACGGTGGAGTGCCGCTCAAGCCTCGAAACCCATACCCATTTTTCAAAATCTATGGGTGGAATTTGCAAATTTTGCACAAAAAAATTGAAAAAATTGACCCATTTTCAATGGTATTTTCGTTAAAAGTGGGACCTATGTTTAGGGATTTTTTGTGAAAAAGTGACCCATTACAGCGGCAGTCCCCGCATGTCCTAATATGTGAGTACCCCCCCCCCCCAACCAGGGGGATTAGGGAGGGGAGGGTGGTGAGGGATCTGCAGCTTCCTGAAATTACCAATATTCACAGTAAAAACATTTAGAAAGGGGAAATTTCGAATCCAGGTAAGAGACTTCCCCCGACATATTTATATTTGTAACCATGCGTCTATGGCTATATTGGATCAAGAAAGCTCACTTTAACAAAAAATGAAACGTGATAATTTAGTATTTTTTTAGTTTTCAATATCTTTTCCCTGTTTCCAGGAATGAAGAGACTTAAAGCGGCATGTGCAACATTCCAAACGAACAACATCACTCATGCAAACTGAGGCATCAGGGAATAATCTTCAGACAGATCGGTGGCGTAGCGTGGATCCATGGGGCACTTGTGTCGTGGGGGCGAAGGCGCATTTTTTGTGTGTGAATGAAATCCGAGAGAGCAAGGCGGTCGAGTTAAGTGGGGGTCACTTTCGTCATGTTCCGTTTCCCTTCACCCTGTAACAATGCCACTCAATTAGAGCCGAGACGCTATGGGAATGACATTTTCAAGGGAATTTCGGATGTGACAGGGCAATCTTTTATCAACCTGTCCCATAACAAGTCATGTACAATAACATTTTGACCTGTCCTTTGACGAAACATTCAAAATTTCCCTCCACGCTTATAGTGTCCCCTCCCTCCCATCCTTCTGCTACGGAGGTAGTGACATTCATTCCAACGGTGAAGTTTCGAACCCCGAAATAGTAAAAAATTCAGAAAAATGCACAACACTTCCTCATTAGGAAATATCATAGAGTCTTATGGATTAATTTTGTCAGAATGAAGAGTTGTGGATGTCCTTACCGTCTTTCGGTCATTTTAGGAGACTGGCGGCCATTCTGGACGCATTGTATGTATGTGGTATGATTAAATTCTTCGACTCCAAAAACATAGGTTTAGACAGCACAACGAAATCTCTAAGATGGATATATTGTTATCTTGTTTTCCTTTCCTTTCTTTTCCCCCTTATTGTTTTTCTTCTCCCTATTTTACTTTCTCTTGTCTTATAGGTAGTTGAAGTGTTTGTACTTTGCTTATTTTAATTAATTCATTGTTGTGTGCCTATAATATGTTATATTTCTTTTTGTATTGTTTTTCATTCTTTAATGGGCGATCCAACTTCACAGGTTTTCACAACCTTCATGGAAAGCCCCGCATATAACCTTTGTAAACATAGTTAAAATTTACTGTTACTTTGTATATTTTGATTTTATATTGCGAAATAAAATTCAATTGAATTGAAAAAAAATAATATAATGATTTATGGCTATTTTTAAAGTATTGGCGGCCATATTGGACGCCATTTTGAAAACGGGTCCGATTTTTCGTAGATTTTAGTATGTTCTTCCCGATGTCCAACACTAACGGACACCGTTGAGAAAATGTTTGTTGCAATTTTCGGGGGTCAAATTCTATATGGTATTGACCTGAAAAATAACTGTCATGCTGCAATCAAAAAAAAATTCTTCATATGTGGATAATAACAATAATAATAACATACATTTATAACGCGCAGAAAACTATGCAAATATTATTCTACTGCGCTGCAAGAGTTCCTGATGTGTTTAAATGTATATGTTCTTTCCTAGCAACAATCAATGTATGCAATTTGCATTCTGACTATTGAAATACATTATGCGTCAGATGTGAATGAAATAATTTGTAACGAGGCACTTAACACAGATTTGGGCAATATGTTTGATTAAGTTACGAAAATGATTTATTTTAGTGTTTTGGACCCGCTGCAGTCGCCCTATTTGGGAGTTAGGGAGTCCATAGACTCCATACAGTCATATACAATTACCCGTTACAGTAATATCATAACTAGACATGAAAGCATAAACTGTTAATCTTTTTATTACTGACCGAATCAAAATACTATTGAATACGTCGTATATTATCTAATATATCGTGCATCAAAAATTTGTTGGCTTTTGATTGGTTGAGAGCTTGTCACATGACCAGAAATATTTGACCTATTTTTAGAAAGTACTATATGAGAGTACTATTTTGGTTTACTATTTGGGAGTTGAAAAAAAATGTGAATTTTTTTTTTTTTTTAATTGAGTCAATTTTTTTTTTCAAATCTTAATTTAATGAAAACAAAATATTTTAAATCTTTTTAGATAAAAATTGACATTTTTTTGTTCTAAATTTTTTTTTCCAAAAAAAGTTTTTTTTAAATTTTTTTTAAAAATACATTTTTGATGCAGGATATAAAACAAATATACCATGCCTTCTATTCGAGGTACTGGTTAAACTATGGGCCTCGGTGACTCCAAAAGTACCATTTGCTTCGGGGCTGCGCCCCTCAGCAAATAGTACTATTGGAGTCACCTCTTGCGCATAGTTTTAACCAGAACCTCTCAAGGCAGTGTATATTTGTATACTATGTGGTATGTTAATTTACATATGTTGGTGATTTTTCAATCTATTAGCAGATTTTGCGATTTGTAACTTGCATATTAAATGTTCATCGAAAAAAAAGTAATCCTAGATTTCTAGCACTAAGTAATGGTTTTATAACAGAACTTTCGACTTACATTCCATCTGCTGCCATGTAGCATGAGTTTGTTTTGTTGCACACGCATCCACGAATATAATCACCACATGCTTCTATGGTTGAGATGCTATGCCCTAGAGCAAGTACATCAGGCGTGAAAAACAAGTACATCTCTGTGTCATCTGCGTAACGGTTGCATGATATTCAAGGGAATTTATTTTGCTATTAGTAATGAAATTGCTCTGTGTAATAATAATAATAATAATAATAATAATAATAATATTTAATTTGTATATAGCGCTTAAAATACAAATGTCTCTAAGGGCTTTACAATACTATTACCCCGTTCATTTGATTTAGTACTTACCCGCACACACTGTGTACAGAGTGAATAACAGATGGTCCAGCCGACGGGAAACATGAAGTAAATTACTATGATTGAAAATAGATATTGTATGTAAATAATTTTTTTTTGCTTTTGGAGCCCATGGAAGAACAGGACCATTTTGAAAATGGTCATGAAGTGGGCTTTCCAACCAGATACTTATACACATTTACCTACCTTCTTATCATTTGAACTGTGTTTATATATGTATGTTTTTAAAACTTGTATGTATGTATGTATGGATTTCGGAAATAAAAACAAACAAACAAAGTGGTGAGATCTAAATGGAGTTTGTGAGAGGTTTTGCTCAGATGGTGATTGTGTAATTCAATACTCTGTGGCCCGAATTCACAAAGGAGGTTTGCCGACAAACCTTGGTTTTCGTACGTCATAATTATGACGCGTTTTTACGCTTTTTTTTACAAACCTGGTTTGTAAAAACGCGTCGAATGCGTCATATGACGCACGAAAACCAAGGTTTGTCGACAAACCTCCTTTGTGAATTCGGCCCTGTGAGTCCAGGGGGCGCCACACCGGTGCTGCGTATTCCAGAGCAGGGGGTGTTTCACAAAACTTGTCATCAGTGACAAATGACATTTGTTGTTATTAGCTACTGAAATCCTTGCTTCTGATTGGTTATCAGCAGATTCGTCACTGATAATTGTCATTTGTCATTGAAAAAAGGCTTTGTGAAACGGGTGCCTGGTCCGACGTAGTACTTGTAAACGGCAACTTAGGCTGTTCACACCGGCAGAGATAGCGCGCGCTAGACCGCGCTATCTCTGCGGTTTGGAAGGTACAACGTCGTTTTGGTCCCCCCAACAGCGAGCCACGGCGAGCCAAAACGGCGTGCCACTGGAGCACCTCTTGGGGGTGGTCCACGAGAGAGAGCGCGGTCTAGCGCGCGCTAGAAAAAAGGGGGTGCTACGATAGACCGCGCTATCTCTTTGCGGTGTGAACAGAGGCACACCGCAAAGAGATAGCGCGGTCTATCGTAGCACCCCCTTTTTCTAGCGCGCGCTAGACCGCGCTCTCTCTCGTGGACCACCTCCAATAGGTGCTCCAGTGGCACGCCGTTTTGGCTCGCCGTGGCTCGCTGTTGGGCGGACCAAAACGACGTACCTTCCAAACCGCAGAGATAGCGCGGTCTAGCGCGCGCTATCTCTGCCGGTGTGAACAGCCTCTATGTCTTCTCGTGGGATTTGAAATTTCTTGAGTTCGCTCAATATGTGTACTCATTTCCTGCTTTTCAAAAACACTTCTTTAACATGTATGTCCCATTTCAGGTCATCTTGAACCCAGAGACCGGGGATTTTCGTTTCATTGACCACATCCGAAACTTTAGGGCCTAGAGATTTGTCCGGTACTTGGTGCTGGTTTGGTTCTCTTGAAGCAAATCTGAGTTGTTTACATTAAGCTGCATTTAGGTGAAAGTAGTCTTGGTCAGCCCATTGTACCAGGTCGTGATCGTTGACAGCTTCGTGTAGAACTGATGAGAAGGCTCATTAACGGTCTTTGTCTCCCCGATGCTAATTAAGATCGTCCACGTATTTCAATGTATCATGTATGCACCTCTGTCGATTCCAGTACATGCGTCAATGATGACTGCTAGAAAAGCTAGGGGCCGATCTTTGTTCCCTGTGGAACGCCACAGGTTAGTTCATTCCAGGAGGAGATAGCGCTTTAGTACTTTAATACTCTCTGCTTGCCGGTTCGTTAGAAAATCGGCGATCCATGGGATGATTTCTGGACGGACTCCCATGAGCAGCTTATAGTTACAACGTCTATGGTTACAACCACGGTATGGTCTACCGTGTCAAAGAACCTTGAGAAATCTGTGACCACAAGATTTCCTACAATACCCTGTTTGTCTGATTCCTTGTAGAATTTATGCATCATTTTAATCAAGCAGTGTGTGGTGGAGCCCTTGAAACTGACATACTGATGCCGTTCAACGCTTGGTCCCATGTCATGTTGGCAGGCAGCAAGTGAAAACGAATTCGTGTAATCAAATTATGGAAATGCACGCATTACTTTGAAACAACAGAACCTTTTTCCGGATTGAGGTGTCATATAAAAGGGCAGGAAATGAACTCTCTAGAAATGTGATTTTCTCTTTGAAATTTAGATACCGCCCTAAAAATGACGTTTTAGTTTCCTCTCTTCAAATTGTTTTTAATCACTCATGCGTGAAATATGCATCATAATAACTTGCATCAAAATAATGGAAGAGAAGGATCCAAGCTTTACAAATATATGTCATTTATTAATCATAATTGTGATTAAGTTATGATAAAACATCGATAATTCTCTGTTTCGTTTTTTCTGGGACGCACTATATAGTAATAGACTAAATTTCCAGACTCTTCGATCTGGCGCTGCTCAGTGGCTGCCGGGCTCACGATCAATTGGGCAAAAAGAAGTTCCGTTTCGGTTTAATAAAATTTGGAGTGGACTATTAGGCTATTATTGCTTTGACTGTGTAGTATGTGATATTTTGTTGATGCCTGTGATATGATTGAATTGTTTGTATAGGATTGTGATGTGCTTGATATTTGTAATGTTTTGCGTGAACGCTTATTTTGTGGAACCGACAGAAAAAGGGTGAACCATTTGCATGGGTACTAATGAATGAAAAGTTCCCGTTACATGTGTCGTGGGGTGGGTTGGGATACCAGGGTTGGACCGTTTTAGGGAGCAGAGTGAACTCAATAGGAACTTTTAGATTGGCACGACGACATAGTGGATTGCTACGTGTGACGTCCTTATAAGGCACTGTAATGTCCTTTTAAAGCATTGTCAGTGCCTTATAAGGACGTCACGCGTAGCAGTCCACTATGTCGTCGTGCAAATTAAAAGTCCCTAATGAAAGCTCGGGGACACTGGGGCTCGTTCCTAGAAACCAACGACAAGACAGTCATAACTTTATCCGCCAACTACGGAGATATCTCTGATCTGTCGTTTCACGAAGAGCTTACTAGCTAGTATCTCGTGAGATCGATAATATCAGAGAGAAGAGGAGCCGAGACTTAGCCTTAGTCGCAATACCACCGGATTATTACAAAATTAATATTAGGGAAAATGCAATTATTTAAATGAATTAGTAATGAAAAAGATTGAAAATGATACCAAGAAATAAAAGATGCAATATACTACCAAATGCGTGTAGATTATACAAAAAAGGTACTTATAAAATATAATTATGAGTACATGACTGGTGAATCAGTTTTGTTCTTGAGATAGGTACCCCCCGGATATTTTCGTTTGATAGTTTATAAAAATACACCAATATATTATTCTTAGAAAAATACGATGTAATGAAGTTTGTGTCCAATGTTTTAGGTGTCAGTTCAATAATCAAATGACAAAACTTCAACATTCCAAACGTTAAAAAAACATGTTTTAAACTATTCATTTTACACATTTGAAGATAGAATTGATCTCGAAAGCAATGGGTCTGAAAACTAAAGAACACACTTCGAACTATGGCTTGCCTGCCGTGGCAAAATACATATCCCTTCGACGATTTTACAATGTGGAAATAAAGGCGTATAATCAGTGTATTTAAGTGGGAAAATCTTTAAATACAAAAAACGATTACTCACTGTTTAAAGGTAATACAAAGTTTTGGGAAACTTAGAAAATTGGGTGGATAGTGAATTTTGATATATTTGGATGCCCCTGTGGATGTATTATAAGCACTAAAAAAATTAACCCCTAAAACACTTCTGTTTTCAAGAAAAATTGAATATAAATATTTACCGGTGCTCCCGGTAAATTTTGATAAATTTCAAATAGCGCCTACGGCCGTACAATGGTAGCTGTGACCATGAAAATCTCAGAATATGTAGTTGTGATATATAATTTCCAAACGGGAATAGCTAATCGGTCGATTTTAGTCAAGAAACATTGTTTCATAGCTAAATTGGTATCTTGACCTTGAGAGGGAGCTATACAACATAAAGGGTTTATTATTTACAATTTCATAACTTTAGACTCGATTTCAACCGATACAACGATCAATGAATAATTAGGAACGCATATGCTTCCAATACGTTAATTTGAACCAAATTCATGACCCCATACCAAAACTTTATAATACCTTTAAATGAATGTGTAGAAAAATCATAGTTGAAGGATTTATTGTCCTTTTTTGCCAGCCATAGTCTACCCAATAAATGACATGTGATGGCGCTGCCCATCGACTAAATAGTTATGACAGAGATACGACGGTGTCAGAGGCGTCATTACTACTTAGTCAGGATGTTTTCGTTGATCTTAGCAAAGAGGGCTTGGTGAAACACATAGCGGACAAGTTGCTCACTAACGCTGATTTAGTCAAGAAGTTAGACTTATCAGGGATTTGTGATTATCCCTGGACTTATGACGTTTTCTAGGAACGGGCCCCTGATCCAGTTACTTCAAGTCTTTATTGAAGTTTGCATGTATAAAAACAACCCAAATTCAAAGGGCTACTGGTGCAGAAACCGCATATGAAACCAGGACATCATGACTTAAAGGGCCACTCTAACCAAAACGGGCTAAAAAGTGAAGAAGAAAAAAGCCATGTAGAACAAAAATTGACGGAGATTCCGAACATGAAAATGATCTTTCTTAGAAATCATCAATAATTCTGGAATCTAGCTTTAAAAAGGACGACCCAGAACGCTCAGAAAAAACCCAGGTTCGGAGCTGTATGACGCAATAGCATATGGCGTCACTGCAGGAGCCTCTGAAAAGGAGGGTGATTTAGGCATTAAAATGTCTTTAAAAAAGCAAACTATGATATAAATTAGGGGTGAAAGACATTAATTGATCCGAAAAAATGATATGCACTCGATAATCCCAGTCCGTTTGTGGCAATTCCGTCATTCCTAATTATGAATTACAATGAGATTGTAATATCCTTACAAATCGGACATTCCCGCAATGACGCCAAAAGCGTCATCAAGCCACGTGACCGTATTACTTTTCTTTTTTCGAGGGGCGTAGCCCATCATACGTGAGATCTATGAAAAATGGATGATTATTTTCATTTATTGGTCAATTTAGAGATTTTCTGAAAAAAATCAGAGGCTGGCATATTAATAAGTAGAGGTGTATTCATGTTTTAAAAGGCTATAATTATTGGGTTAGAGTGGCCCTTTAAGGCTTCTTACACAGGTCAAGATGCAATTTTCTCTTGACCGTCTGTGATTACAGCCCGACTTCAACCAGATCAGAGCATGTAATGACCTAACTCACCACGCTGCCGAAATGCATTGACACCATGTCATCATCCTATTAAAAAATCACTTCGCCGTAGCAGAGCTACTACAACAAATTCAATTTCAAACTAACTTCTTTTAAGCTATGGTCACAAATCAGAGCAGCGACCGACCGATCAGTAGCCTGCTCGGTCGCTGCTGAAATTAAGCATCGCCCAGCAATTAGGTCAGTGCCCGGGCGGCGACCGCCCAGGCACCGAGCGTATTTTGGGCGGAGAGTGAAAAATGAGCAGGCGCCGCCCAAATTTTAACTCCGCGCTAAAACTTCAGCGGCGACCGAGCGATGCCCAAAAAAAGAGCGTTGTCTGGGCCGCCGCCGCTCGGTGGCCGGGCAGCCGCCGGGCAGAATTGGTTAAAAACTCGCCGCTCGGCCGCCGAGCAGGCTACTTTTGGGTAATGTGACCATAGCATAACATGACGTAGAGACGTCAAACATCTAATATAAGTGAAAAAGTAATCAGGCCGATCATCTAAAAAATTCTGATCACCTGTCTACAAAGAAATTAGTCCCTCATGTTTGAAAGGAGCTGTCAGACCAGTTCACGGTTAGCACATTACTGCAATGACCCCGGATATCCATAGATCTTCAAAACATGAAGAGGTACGTCCCACTTTGTACATTTTGAAATAATCATCCTATATACAGCGATGGAGGTGCTGCAATTAATAGCATTTGTTTCCCCTTTTCAAATAATACTGGTCTGTGTATCATGGAGTGCACTGCCTGTGCATGCATGAAAAGTGATACAATTGAACTGGCTGAGTGTCGGTACTACACTTGGATGGGCAAGTTATATTGTTATATATATATATATATATATTGGAGAAGCATCTATCGAAAGAGCTAACAAGTGGGCAGTGCATGGAGCCAGCCAGACGTTATCACAGCAGATCGGAACCGACCGACAATATGTATAACAGACTGACTCTTTCGGTGTACGGATCTAGCTGAGACCACTATCACAACATTTATTATAAAGTTTGTAAAGTTCAGTCATACACTTGAGAGACTATAATACTGTGGGGAAACTGTTCTCACCCTATTTAAGAAGACTGAATTAATTAAAATCCTCACTAGTTTTTAGCTTGTGCCATGGCATCGGAACGGGACATTTCTAAGCGCGTTGAGAGTTGTTCTTCTTTCGAATTTCAGTTGAGAGACATCAATACAGCGTATGGGAGGAACAAATTCGATGAAAATCACAACAAAGAGGTAAGCTGGTCGATACTCGTATTAGACTTTCATGCATGTGAGCATTAAAGGCCAAAATACAAAGTTTTGGTATGGGGTCATGAATCTGGTTCAAATGAACATATTGGAAGCATATATACGATCCTACAATATTCAGTGATCGTTGTCGAGGTTGAAATCGAGCCTAAAGTCATGAAATTGTAAATAATAAACTCTTTTTGTTGTATAGCTCCCTCTCAAGGTCAAGATATTAATTAAGCTATAAAACAATGTTTATTGACTAAAATCGACCGATTAGCTATTCTCGTTCGGTAACTATAACAACTACATACTCTGAGATTTTCATGGTCGCAGCTACCATTGTACGGCAGTATATAGGAGCTATTTGAAATTTATCAAAATTTACCGGATGCACCGGTAAATCTTTATCTATTCAATTTTTTTTCGAAAGCAGAAGTGTTTAAGGGGCTAAAATTTCTGGTGTTAAGTTTTTTAATACATCCACAGGGGCATCCAAATATATCAAAATTGTAGAGAATCACTATCCACCCATTTTCAAAAAATTTCCCAAAACTAAATACTTTTAAATTAATGCTCACATGCCATTAACACTATCCGATCTAGCGTTTTATGCGTCGCCAGCAAGGATATGTGCTCTGGACATGAAAAGAGGAAATGAGGAAAATAAGACAAAATCATGATTATCGTTAATTATTAACACAAGAGTAATGCTTCCTTCTAACCCACTTTCCTTTTTTTCTTCAAGGGTATAATAAATCTTGCGACTGCATACAACGACGCAGTCCGAGATCTCATCACTGAAAAGGTAAAGCTATACATTCATTTTTCGTGATGCTCTCAAATCGTAATAGATCGTTACGTCTGCTTAGAGCCAAAATGGCATTAAAGATGAAGTTGAGTTCTGGTCATGCGATTGCATTGTGAAAGAAACGGTGTGGAACCGACCAGAAAAGGTTGATCATCTAGCATATTAGAATTTGTGTGTATTGCAAGGTTCTGGAATCATCAAAATGATAAGAAATGTGGCCAAGTCTTGGTAAAGTTACAAACACTTGCACAGAAAGATGTATATGGGACTACACGAACATGTGGCGTAAAAAGCCGGCCCCCGATTTTTACGATGTTACATGCATATTTAGAATATGAAGGCATTTGAAGAGCCATGCTTTTCAGGGAACATCTCTTAACTGATGTTCTTCCACACTTGCATAATAAGAATGAGTAATGCTCACAAATTATTTTTCACCTCTTCCCAGAACTCAACCTTCTCTTTAAGTAATATTATTTTAGCACTATTAACGAATTTTAGCTCTCAACAGACGATATTTAGACACTATTATGCAATAAAATATGACATGGTCTACATGAGCAAAGGCTTATTTGCAGAAAGGAAAATGATGAAATAATTTGACGTATACGTTTGACAAAAAGGGGAAATTAACCTTTAGTTAAATTCCCTTGGAGGCAGAAAAATCACAGCAGATCAAACGTGTGACAGTTTAAGAAAAGGTGGTCACATGATTTTTTGGTTTGTAAAGTAATAAATGAGTGAAAGTTGAGAAACAGTCGCGGTTTAGATAGAATAGCAACAAGGGACAGAGAGACGAGAGAGAGATAGAGAGATAGAGATAGAGAGAGAAAGAGAGAATGAGAGTGCTAAGGTAGGGAAGACACGTATTAAAAGCGAAGATCGAAATAGTTTGTGCCGCTCATGGACAAAAAAAAAAATCAACATACATGATAAATATCCAGCTACTAGCCTACTACAAGCATGACAAGTTGCATAGCAAAAGCTATATGCTAAGCCCGGCCCACCCTGTATCGCAATGAACCTGTTTCGCTACTTATCGAAATCAATTATCATATTTTGACCAATTATTAGTTGAACCAGCCAGACTTCATGACGTGGAACTCAACGATGCTACCATACGGGGATCGTAATGGTAGTCTCCGCCTCCGGAAAGCCTTATCTGGGTTCTTATCCAGCTGCAGTGGTCAGAAAGCTCCAGAAACTCTCGATCCGGATAAGGTATACAATTATTCTTCTTCTTTTTATTTATTTGTTCATTTATTTATTTATTACTATTTTTTTTAAAATTATTATTTTTATTTTTTATTTATTTATTTATTTATTTATTTTAATTTATTTATTTATTATTAATATATATATATATATATATATATTTTTTTTATTTTTTATTTATTTATTTATTATTGTTATTATTTTTTTTTTTTTTGGGGGGGGGGGGGGGCGTGTAGAGGAGAGTCACCACCTTTGCAAGTTAAAAACCCACTGCACTATTTGTATAAGAGTAGGAGAAAACCCCGGTGTAGTGGTCCACTTGCACACCCCCAGTCAGTTATACCGGGAGGAGAGACCCGAGGGTTACAGTGATTCCAAACAATTGATAATAATAATATGGGGTAGCAATATACCCTTTCATAGGACTCATGATAATTTGTTTAACAGTTGATTCCACTCGGTTGAGTCCATTGTTCGCAGGATAATTTGTTCATCGTCTCTACAATGCTATTTGAGTAAACAACATTTGTTATTTTAATGTATGGCTACCTGGAAGAAGTTTCTATTGTGGTAAAGAATTTTCTGTTTTGTACCCAGTAGATCACGCTGATTCCAAGATTTTTTTTTTTTTCTGACTTGGTTTCAATGACAAAATCGAGCACGCGATCTTAATCTATTGGGTGCAAGCCAAACAATTTCTTTACAACCATAGACAATATTGTGGTACTATTTTATGTAGCATCACTTGGCAATCACATGGCAGATAACTTAATTAGTACCAGGTTTAATAATTTTAAAGAAAGCTGAATTTGAACCCCGGACAATGCTCTCTCTCTCCCCCTCTCTCTCTCTCTCTCTCTCTCTCTCTCTCTATATATATATATTTATCTCCCCCTCTCTCTCTCTCTCTCTCTCCCTCTCTCTCCCTCCCTCTCTCTCCCTCCCTCTCTCTCCCTTTTCTACCCTCTCTTTCTCTACCCTCTCATTCTCTCTCTCTCTCCCTCTCTATCTCACCCCCCTCTCTCTCTCTCTCTCTCTCGCAATACGATCGGGGAAATGTATGTGTCCTTTTTGTCTCCTCCAACCCCTCCCCCTCTTTACTAACGATAGCCTGTACAGTTTTAACGCTATTACCTTCCATATATAAACAGTACTGCAATCCTATTATTACTCGAGGATCTAGCACTTTTAATACTTAATTAAATGTTTTGACAATAGACCTCAAATTTACCTCAAATTATCACTTTTGGAACCGAGCTCTTCAAATTATGCACCGTGATTTACAAAGTTTGGTCTTTCTCATTCGTATAGTTCATAGTTCTGAATGGAGTGACGTCTGCACTGAGTGCGATGGCTTACGTATTATGTGACAAAGGAGGTATATATTTATTTATGCGTCTCACTTATTATTCGTTCTCCAATGTCTGAAATAAAGCACTAATTTTACAGGATTTCAATGAAAATCTAATAGCAAAACCACTGCTCTTGTCACTTGTAAAAAATGTATGTCTTCAAATAAAATCGGCTTCATATCAATGCAGATCGAGTCCTGTCGGAGAAAATGTGGTTGCAATTTAAATGTTATTAAACCATGCACATAATTTTGCCCACATCATTTTTTTTCTCCCCAGAATACGTTTTTTAAACATCCCATCACCCCCTCCAAAACTCAGAATTGGTGGGGGGGGGGGGGGGAGCCTAAACGGATGAACTGCTTTAACTTCCGTTCTCAATTAAAGCTCCTTGTAAAAAAAAAGGAAGAAAGCATATGGAGAGGGGAGGGAGAGGGGAGGGAGAGTGAAAGAGACGTAAGGTGGGTGAGAGAGAGAGAGAGGAAAAAAGGGTGGGGTGGAGAGGGAAAGAGGGCAAACGTGAGAAGATGGGGAATGTGAGTGGTCTGCTTGAGGTGGATAGCTTGAACATAATGCCATACACATCCTGTGTAGTCATGACGATTTAAATGTTTTCATTTTCACACTTGCCTTTAAAAACTGCAGACACCATTTTGACTCCTGCTCCTATGTATGGAGCTATACCACGTGACCTTCTGTTCCAGTATGGAGCGAAGACCTATCCAGTGCATCTTAGCAGCAAGGTCAGCATAAAATGCATCCTCCCAATATTTTCACTTCTGCATTTATGTTTTCTTCTTTCAAGCTTCACTGAGGTGGAAAAAAAAGAAAAGAGATCATATTTCGTGATTTTGCCAACCAAAGAAGAATGCTCAAGTATATCCGAATTGCTGACTGAAAATAAAATAGTAGCATCGCACCCTAAACCCTTCAGCAGCCCCCTTGTTACTTTTCAAGACTGTTAACAAAAATGCAGGACCTATAAGATAATTTTTTTTTCTTTCTTTTTTTTCGTCATTAATACTGAAGGCAGAACCAGATGGAAGAGAACCGTTTGAACTGACTGTTCCTCTTCTTGAGTCAGCTTTGGAAAAAGCAAAACAGGAGGTAAGTACAATGGCTACAGCCTATGAGAACGACAGTCGGTCTCGTGGACCTTCTGATGACGTTTTCAGGGGGTTAACTAGACAGGCAGCCCATGAAACCAACATTTTTTTCTATCTCGTATTCTTTGTTTGTCAGTTTTCTGGGTTGTTGGTCTACAAGGATGGCCCCACTGATTATTTCGTCGCACGTTTAATTTTTCCGGCTTATTTAAGGTGGTGTCCGTGCAAGAATTGTTTTTGCTTTTGATTAGATTAGCTTTACTCGATCAGGTCTTCCACGTAATGTAAGTACCCCAAACCTTAAGTCCGAGAAAACTTTCCCCGCGGACAATTATTATTGCACCCGGAGGTTTTTTTTACCCGGACAACTACCTTGGTGGAAATTTTCCCTCGCTCTAACTATTCCCGAGAGAAAAAATACCTTTCTAACTTTATTCTTGTAACTATCCCTATGAAAATTGCCCCCACCGGCCCCCCCTCCCCCCCAAAAAAAAACTCACCGACACCACCTGCTAATAACTACCCCATTTACATTGAGGACGGAGGTGGTGTAATTAAAGGGCACTCCAACCCTTGTGATAATTTTATTAATTTTGTATGAAAGCGGAAAATAAGATAAACAAAATGACGAAAGTTCGAAATAAATCGGAACAACAATTATAATAAAGTTATTTGTGTTTTAGATATGAGATCACTCCTTCTACGCGAATCGAAAATTAGCAATTTGATAACTGGATTGTGACGTCTAGTCGGTTGTCGGTTAACTATCCCGTTGTTCGTGTATGAAAATATAAACTTCTGTTTTTCCCCTGAGCAGCTCCTCCCTTAGGGCACATCCAAAAATGTATAGTGGGTAGCATATTATCGTAAGTCTTCTAAAAAAGGAAAAAGCCATCCCGAGTCATACATTTTGAAAAACTTACATTTGAGTCATTTTGTGTGTTGGAACAAAATGTAAAAGATTTCCGTCACAGTGACACTGCCGATTCAGATAATTTGAAGTTCCTATACGTATAGTGATTACAACTTTGAAAAATTCATAACTTTCTAATTTGGCGTCCGATTTCACCAGTCTGTTTTTCTGATTTGTCTGCTCTATTTATAATTATTTACTTTAAGGTTGGATTTCCCATTAAATTCGAATTTATATTGAAAGAAAGCAGAAATGTTCATAAAAGGCTTGCTTTCCCCTTCATATTTTATGTCCCTTTTTATTCAAATTACCTCTCGATTATCAGCATTATTTCTACTCTTCTTTTTATCATTATTATCATCATTATTATTATTAATATTATTATTATAATCATTATTATTATTATTTTATTGTTATCATTACTACATTGTTATTATTATTTTTCATTATGATAATAGTCGTTATTATCATTACAATTATCATTGTATTATCATTATTATATTATTATTATTATTATTATTATTATTATTATTATTATTATTATTATTATTAATATTATTATCATTATTATTATTATTGCAATAAATATTAGGGACATAACGTCAGGGCTCTTTTTCTGGTCAATCCTGCCAATCCGAATGGAACCGTGTACACCAAACGACAAGTTTTGGAATACCTCACATTTTGTAAAAGGTAAGTTTTCTGTAAAAGGTATGTTTTCGACTGATATACGATATATAGATGCAATGCAGAAGAATAATAGAATAGAAAATGATAGGATATGTTAGGATAGGATAGGATATCTTTGGCCGGATAGGATAGAATATAATAGAATAGGATAAAATAGGATAGGGTAGAAGAGATTACCTTGTGGTATAACGAAGATGTAAAATGTATTATATTCACACTAAATTAAATCACAGAATGGTTTTTTTAATGTTCGAATCTTACCCCCCAAATAATTACATAGTAATTTCCGTTTTATACGTTATTTAATTACTATCAGGTTTACCCGAATACGATTTGGCAAAATACTTAAGTATATTTAGTGTCAATACAGTGGATTTAATATCAAGTATATCGGCCGTCTTCTGTATTTGATTATACTTATTCAATTTTATACAACACCTACGTGGATCCTTGTCATTTGATTGGACGGTTGTTGATCACATGATATTCAATAGATGGTATATTGCACGGTCGTGCATTTTTGGTTATATGCGCCGTGCATTTTTGGTTATATGCAGACTGCGTACCTCTCTGCTGCATGTGCGCGCGTATCCCTGCGTGTATCTGACGCGAAGGCAATCTGCATGTAATCGAGAAGGCTTGACTCGAACTTCAATTTATCTTTATAAGGAGTAAAGCATAATTTGTTGATTAACGTTCTATTAGGTCTTCTTCGATGTTGTATAAAACAAATAATGAATGTTTTTCATTCGTTCAATAGTGCAAATATGTTCATTCGTTGAAAGATTAACGTTAATTCTATTCAACTCGGCTGACGCCTCGTTGAATAGAATGTTAATCTTTCAACTCATGAACATATTCGCACTATTGAACTCATAACCATTCATTATTTGTATAATAATCATTTCCATGTATGTTATACGTATTTGTTTCCATATTTTGTTATACTACATTCGTAAATATACATGCACTAACATGCAATTAAGTAAGCTTATCTACATGTTAGTACATGTATATTTACGAATGAAGTGTAAAAAAACAAATAATAACAACATTTAGTAGATTGGTAGAAGCTTAAAATACATGTAACGATTACTTCACCCTATAAACGTTTCCTTTGTGAATTAAGTTATAAAATACAAAATACAGTAACAATTTAAAAAGTGTAACAAAGTAGCTTAATCAAATGTTGTTATATACATTTTTTCATTTACAGGCATGGTCTACATTGCGTGATTGATGAGATCTATGCTGCTAGTATCTTTGAAGAGTCTGTAGAGAGTTCAAGTATATTCACCTGGCATTCAGATGAGCTACCGGACAAGACAAAGACACATGTCATATGGGGAATGGCAAAGGTTATCAATTTTACCATCCATATTTATGGTTTGATAGTTTGTTGATATTCGACTGCTAAGAAAGCATGTGCATGCCTGTCAGTAAGCAACCTGGGGACAAACGGCTTTAAGTCCTCTCCGATGGACTTTGTACTGATGATTAGTCCTAATGCCTTTATACTCGCTAGCTTGTCGACTAGGTTTCGAACCCGGGATCTCCCGGTAACGAGACCACTACTCTACCACTGAGCCATCGCGCCACCATTAATATTATTCCTACAAATTATGGGCGAACGGAGGGAAGGGAGGCAAAATGACCTTCGCCTGTAGAGACAAAATATAGCCTTTTAAGGCTAAGTTAATTTTAGGGCTAAAAGGAGCCCCCACCCTCTTTCCGAAGCAAAGGAAGACCGGCGGGATTCCTGAAAACATGAACCTGAGAAACAGCATTGTCGGAGACAATATTCACCATACCCCCTCTCTGAAAAAGCCCGGATACATGCCCCTGTAAAGAACTTACATTGTTCTTTATATAAATAAATATCACATATTTGACTACCTCTTCTAAGTGGGTAAAGTGACCGCCCTGTGACATTTTTTCTTCCAGACCCGTGGCGTTCACGGTTCATGAACTACGTATCATGATTTGATGTGGTCTACAAGAATGAAACATTGTAATGGTCATTATTCTGTACCTATTGGCCTGAATTCACAAAGGAGGTTTGGCGACAATGACGCGTTTTTTTTTTACAAACCTGGTTTGTAAAGACACGTCGAAACGCGTCATATGACGCACGAAAACCAAGGTTTGTCGACAAACCTCCTTTGTGAATTCGGACCATTTACTTCCGAATGACCTGGTCGCTTTTTTCTTCATTATTCATCAATTATTTAGTGTATGTAGTCATTTATTTGTTCAGGTATATATTTGTGTATTCATGTATATATTTATTCATTCATGTATTTATTTATTTATTTATTTACTTATTCGTCTGCTTTTTTATTTGACAGGATTTTGGAATGCCAGGTTGTCCACTCGGAGTCGTTTATACGTTAAATCCTCGAGTTTTAGCTGGCCTAGGACTTGTAATTGAATTCTCCCAGGTTCCAATTTTCATCCAAATAGCTGTGGCAAAATTACTTGAGGACAAAGGTAAAGAAGAGTCCTATTTCCATCTTTTTAAACACATGTAATTTATACCAGTATAAGACCTTTGACGAGATTTACCTAGTTGGTGATGTATTATTGATTTAAAACAATACATATTTATATAAAAATACAATTACCAGTAATTAGCAAGAGTTCCGGATAATATGAAAGCTTAAGCGGATCTGCAAGGAAAATTTTACCAAGATAGAAAACAAAAATTGTGTAGGAAGAACTTTTTCTCAACTTCTCTCAAAGAGTCTTCTTTTAAACTAGTCAATAATTATCTAACAGATTATTGTCTTATGATGTTTAATCAATCGCCTTTATAGAAGCGGAATTTACCGTTGTCTGAGAATTTGAGATCTTGTCATCATATCATGAATATCGTTGTAGGAGCATGATTGCGTCAGATCATGACCTTGAATAAATACTTTCATTATAAAACTGATAGTTCAAAGTCACGTGACAATTATGATAATCATCATAATAATGGCAACATTAAAGATAATAATATTCAATAAAATGTTCTAAATCGACAGCAAATTCACCTGACTCTTTATAGTGCGCAGTTTCTTTAGCAGACTCGGTGGAATTTTAATCGGTGGATAATGGATTTTGTTTAAGTATTTTTGGTAGGAGTAATTGATCATATATGATTATGAATATATATGTATGTATGAATGTATGTATGTATTTAAATATATATATATATATATATATATATATATATATATATATATATATATATATATATATATACATATATATATATATATATTGTATATAGGCTATGTAAGAAAAGTACTATTAAGGTCTTTTATTTCAATTGTCTTAATTATTATTTGTATATTGCCGTGACGAAGGATTATCAAAATCAAATTATATATAATATAGTGGGTATATTTATATATATATTGTTTTTTACTTAGAATGGTTGAAGATGTACCTTCCAACTCACAATAAGATGTTGATGGAATCGGCAACTATCGTAATGGAAACTCTGAAAGAGCTTGATGTGCCATTTGTGAAACCCAGTGCAGGGTTATTCATTTGGGCCGACTTTAGAAAGGTGGGTATATAGTATGTGTTATATAGTATTTATGGTATTTTGTTTCATTCACCAATATACACTTGTATTTATACATGCGTGTCAGTTTTTGGTTCTTGGACGAAATGTAATATGTTCGTGCGTTCTGTTGTCGGTCTGTTGTCGTCTTGCCGGTCCTGCCGGTGTGAAAGGTATGACTCTTTTCTTTATTGAAATAAAGCCCGGATCGAATGTCGGGACAACACAATAACAGGCTATCCTTCCTCCTTCATGCACACAGATCATCAGGAGTGCAAGCAAAGAATCCGAAAAGCAGTTTGCCATTCACTGTCTTAATCACGGTCTCGCCATCGCACCAGGGGCGGCCTTCTATTACAACGAATTCGGTTGGATTAGACTCGTCCATGCCCTACCGAAATACAAACTCATCGAAGGTAATGATGAGCTAGTTAATTTCATTTTTAATTATAGTGTAATAATACCTTGATATCATTCATATGGGTATGAGGCGGGGAGTAGGGAGGGCTGAGGGGTCTGCAGCACCCTGAAATCAACAATATTCAGAAAAAATAGTCAACTCATCTTCCGGCATCGAGATATTCTTTTCAATGTGTCTTATTTAGATCTTATCAGAAATAATCCAGAATGATTTTTTCTTTTCAATATCGATTTCCCTGTTTCCAGGAATGAAGAGACTTAAAGCGGCTTGTGCATCATTCCACACAACATCAAAACTGTAAACTGAGGCATCCGGGAATAATCTTCAGACAGAGCAGTGGCGTAGCGTGGATCCAGGGGGGCACTTGTGTCGTGAGGGGAGACAAGTTTTTTTTTAGTGCAATCTGTAGTTTGACCTGCCCTTCGACGAAACACTCAACATTTCCCTCTACGCGTACAGTGTCCGCTCCCTCCCATCCTTCTGATTAGGAGTTAGCGACATTCATTCCGATAGTGGAATTTCGAACCCCGAAATAGTAACATTAAACATTGTTACGTTCTGAACTTCGCTTCTGATTTATTCTAAACTCATCAACAACATTTTATAAATTTTATCTAGATTATGGATATTTTTATGTCGGGTTAAGGTTATGATATTAAATTATTATTTTGGTGTTTTTAACGGTCACTTTTTTCTATGCAGCTGAACATTACAATTTATTGTTTTCTCTTTGTTGTCGACAAGTTTGGGACTCTGTCCCGAAATAGTAACCCCATTTAGTAACTTAGGCCATCTTATACATCGGCATTAATGTGGTTAGCCTGACTGTAGCCGGCGGGGCTAGTCCACCCCCCCCCAAAAAAAAGCCTTCGAAACAGACCCCACAGTCGGTTCGATGGACCTTACCCCGTCTTTCCCATGCACAAAACAATTTCTCAATAGGAAACAGAATAACCCTTACGGACTCGATTTTGTCAGAAAGAAGAGGTGTGGGTGCACTAACTTTCGATTATTTTTTAGGAGACTGGCGGCCATTTTGGACGCTATCTTGGATGTTTCAGGTTTCCTGGGGGCCATAACCCATTGTATGTATGTGGTATGATTAAATTCTTCGACTAACAAAACCTATTTGGTATAGACAGCAGAATTACACCCGATATAACACGACTTTGGGCTATTATAAGGCATGTTGGCGCCCATAATGGAAGCCACTTTGAAAATAACGTGTTTCCGATGTTCTCATTTGTTGGTATGTTGTTCCTGATATGTCAGACATTACCGGAAAACCATTGAAAAACTCTTTGATGCAATTTTCACGCGGGGGTCAAACCTTATATTGACCTAACAAATAACCCTAACGATGTAATAAGATATCAGTTTATTTGCGGATAATAATAATAATAATGATGATAATATACATGTATAAACTGCAGAAAACTATGCAGATATATTTTAATGCGCTGCAATAGTTCCTGATTATTTTGCTTAAGACTACAACATAATTTTGTTTTCAAATTTGAAAAACCACAATTCAGTCTTGCACAAGTGTTATAGACCCGCTGCAGTTACCCTATGTGGTAGTCAGGGAGTCCATACAATAACATATTACAGTACTCTAACTTGCTAGTGATCCAAGCATGAACAATCGTTTCATACTGACCTGATCAAAAGACTATTGAATACGTCGGATATTATATATCATGTGGTATATGTTGGTTTAATTATGTTGGTAATTTTTCAATCTATGAGCAGATTTTGTAATTTGTAACTTGCATATTAAATGTTCATCAAAAAAGTAATCCTAGATTTCTAGCAATGGGTGATGGTTTTATAAAATAACTTCAGACATATACCCCATTGAAATTTAGTTTGAATACTTGTTTATTAGAAATGCCAATAAACAACAATTCAATTTTATTCGCATGAGTTTGCTTTGTTGCACGTGCATTCATATATAATCCACACATGCTTCTATGGTTGAGATGCTGTGCCCTTGAGCAAGTACATCAGGCATGAAAGTCAAATACATCTCTGTGTCATATGCGTAGCGGTGGTATGATATTCAATGGAATTTATTTTGGATAATACATATATAGTAATGAAATTGCCTCGTGTACAGAGTAAATAACAGCGGGCCGAGCCGATGGGATACATGAAATGAATATTAGAGCTATTTGGCATATATTTGAGGATTATGGATATACCATATTCATAATATATTCGAGATTTTAAGAGAAAGGGAGGGAGAGAGAGAGAGAGAGTGAGAGTGAGAGAGAGAGTGAGAGAGAGAGAGAGAGAGAGAGAGGGATAGAGAGGGAGAGAGAGAGAGAGAGAGAGAGAGAGAGTGAGAGAAAAAAAAGGAGAGCGTGTAAAGTCATTTCGTGAAGAAAAACCATGTAGGCACGAACATGTCACCCATTGGAACAAAACATATTTAAACCTTTATTGTATCATTGTATCATGAAAATGCATTTTGTTAATTTCAAATAAATCGTCAATGAAATATAATAAAATATACATCAAATTAAAAGAAAAGTTACCTACCAATATCAATTAAGATCAAGCTTTCAACTTTCACTCATGCTGGATGGGCACAGTCATTCAACCTTTGGGTATGATTTTTTTTAATGCAAAAATAAAGAGAGTACATGTGCATTTTTACGATATTCTTACTCAACAATAGTCCAATACCTGGACTGTACCGCGCAATCAAAAACCAGTTAAATTATACTGTTTTTAACTGGTACCCGTTGACCAGTTGCCTGCTGGTTTCAACTTGTTTTTCAGCGACCTGGGAAACCATTCCCTTTGTTAAACACCCCCTATAGGCCTCCTGATATTAGAACTGATGGACAATGAACGTAGGCGAGGGTGCGCTTCACTGGAGCATGTTTACAGTAAGCCTTGGGGGAATGCAAGAGTTCAATGAGAAGGAAAAAAATAGTTCAAGTACGGCAATTTTGATTTTGATTTTGTGATGTCAATAAATGAATAATACATTTGTGTGAGAATAATCGTGATAATGCAAAAGGTCTTCACGCGAATATCCAGCCGTCATCAATACACGTACACCGTTTACCATTCAAAAGAAATATAGATTTCATTCGCTGATTTCTACATCTATAAACACAGGCAAACAATTCCAAAACGCAGGGTATTACTTTGTGATTGTTTGGGGTGTTATTCCTACATTCTACAAATAAAGTTTCTACATCTATATAAGCACAAGCAAGCATGAGTACTGGCAAGTATAACAACATCTTAATTTTGGTCGTTGAAATCATAATTTTTGCACGACGATATGAATGGTGACATCGGTTCCAAAACGCAGGGTAGCATTAATTGATTTTGGGGGTTGTTGTTCGAAAAGATTCTACAAATAAAGTTTTTTTTATTTCGTAAGGCTTGTACATAACAAAAATCATTATTTTTACTCTTTGAATACTTTGTTCTGTTTCACAATATTCATATTTATACAAATATTTAAATTAGTAGGTTACACATGTTATTAGAACAGCGTTAATGCTCTTTGATTACACAGCTTTAAAATGGGAACTGTATGTCTTACTGATGTCATTTGTTCCTAAACAACCAATCCATATGACCATGTTTCCTTTCAGGCGTGGATCCAGGATTTCTTAGGGGGGGGGGGGGGGGGGGGGAGGCCCAAATTTGAAATTATGCGAGCCAAATATTGGTACGAAATGGTGACCAGCAGTGACGTAATGGGGGGGGGGGTGGGAGCAGGGAGGGGCGAGTTTTTCCCCTACCTCCTCCGCGAAGCGCGGAAGCTTCGACATTTCAATAAATTATTAAAGAAGACGATTCGTTGTACCGTTCCCAAAAATAATCCTCGTCTGAATTATGTCCCCCCCCCCTCCCGCGCGAAGCGCGGAAGCTTTTACGTTTCATTAAATCATTAGAGAAAGAAGACGACTCGTTGTGTCGTTATCGACTCTTCATCTTCGTCTAACTTCAGTTTCCCCCCTCCCGCGCGAAGCGCGGAAGCTTTTACGTTTCATTAAATCATTAGAGAAAGAAGACGATTCGCTGTACCGCTCAAGAAAATGATCCTCGTCTGAATTTATTTTCCCCCTCCCGCGCGAAGCGCCGAAGTTTTTACGTTTTATTAAAACATTTAGCGAAAGATGACGATTCGTTGTACCGTTATTACTGTTAATCCTCGTCTAAATTCAGTTTCCCCCTCCCGCGCGAAGTTTTACGTTTCATTAAATCATTAGAGAAAGAAGACGATTTGTTTTACCGCTCTCGAAAAAATGCTCGTCTGAATTTAGTTCCCCCCTCCCATCCGCGCGCGCGAAGCACAGAAGCTTATACGTTTCATTAAATCATCAGAGAAAGAAGACGATTCGTTGTACCGTTCTCGAATCTTAATCCTTGTCTAAATTCATTTTCCCCCCCCCCCTCCCGCGCGAAGCGCGGAAGCTTCGACGTTTCATTAAATTATTAGAGAAAGAAGACGATTCGTTGTACCGCTCTCGAAAATAATCCTCGTCTGAATTATGTTCCCCCTCCTCCCACGCGAAGCGCGGAAGCTTTTACGTTTCATTAAATCATTAGAGAAAGAAGACGATTCGTTGTGTCGTTATCGACTCTTAATCTTCGTCTAACTTCAGTTTCCCCCCTACCGCGCAAAGCGCGTAAGCTTTTACGTTTCATTAAATCATTAGAGAAAGAAGACGATTCGTTGTACCGTTCTCGATTCTTAATCCTTGTCTAAATTCAGTTCCCTCCCCTCCCACGCGAAGGGCGGAAGCTTCGATGTTTCATTAAATTATTAGAGAAAGAAGACGATTCGTTGTACCGCTCTCGAAAATAATCCTCGTCTGAATTTATTTTCCCCCTCCCGCGCGAAGCGCGGAAGCTTTTACATTTCAATAAATCATTAGCGAAAGAAGACGATTCGTTGTACCGTTATTACTTTTAATCCTCGTCTAAATTCAGTTCCCCCCTCCCTTCCCTACGCGCCTGCGGTCAGATGAACATAATTTATGTTGATACCTTGTCCGCCCCCGGAAGCTCAGGGGTTTAAGGCAATAATTTACAGTCAGATTAGCATTCAGGGGTCCGCCTTAGGGCCCTAGGTGGGGTCCAGGGAACAGAGCCCCGGAAGTTCAGGGGTTTTAGGCATTTAATTACGGTCAGATGACCATTATTTCGATACCTCGTTGTGACACTGGCAGGTCACTGATTGGCGTGGGGTTCAGGGGGCGGAGCCCCGGAAGCTCAAGGGTTTTAGGCACTCAATTATGGTCAGATGAGTATCAAGAGGCCCGCCTTAGGGCTCTTGGTTCGGTCCAGGGGGCAGAGCCCCCGGAAGCTCAGGGGTTTTAGGCGTTTAATTACGGTCAGATGAGCATCTAAGGGCCCGCCTTAGGGCCTTAGGTGGAATTCAGGGGGCAGAGCCCTCGGGGTTTTAGGCATTTAATCATGGTGAGATGAGCATATTTTGATACCTCATTATAATGTGACACTGGCAGTTAACTATTTTTTCTTTCTTGCTCTCTTTCTTTCTATTTCTCTTTAATATATTTTTTTTAAGTGGGGGGGGGGGGGGGGGGGGGGCTTCGAGGATCCCGATCCCCGCTGTTCCGCGGGCCCTGACATGTAGGAATCTCAAGAAGCATTTTCTCGCCTGGCTGTAAATTTTTGAATTTGTCATTTTCCAACAAACGCATACAAAAGTATAATTTACTTAAAAGTGAGGAAAAATCTCGGAAAACTATGTCATTTCAGCATTATTGTAAATCACCGTTATGGAATTAGAAATAAAACACGTTTGAATTTTATGTTCCCAAAGCCCCCCCCCCCCCCGATCTACACCTTGATATATCCCTTACCTTTCTTCATTCTCTTTTTCTTCTTTCTCTTTCTCTTTCTCTCCTCTTTCTCTCCTCTTTCTCTTTCCCTTCCTTTCCTTCTCTCTCTCTCTTTTAGGTTTGCTAGGGGGGGGGGGCAGGTCATTTTGACCCCCACCCCGCTCCACACATTGTTGGCGGGATTAACCGCAACTGATCTCCCCTTCTTTTCTCCCTTTTCTTTTCTTCTTCCTCTTTTTTGTTCCCATTTTAGCTCTCCTCTTTTCCTTTTCATTCCTTCTCTCTTTTTTTTTTTAGCGGGGACGGGGGGGGGGGGGGGGTTGGGGGGAGCAAGGGCCTTTTGCCCCCTCCCCTCCCCGATCCACAACTTGTTGGCGGGAAAATTGCAACTGATATCCCCCTTCTTTTCTTTTCTTCTTCCTCTTTTTCCTTCCCTTTATC